TGCTTGCGTACACTTGCGACGGCGTGTACTCAGGCCGCTGGCTGGCCACCCGTCACTGCAGCAGCAGAGGACAATGTCCAAACAAAGTGCAGCAAGTTGGTAGAACTGGCAGTTTTTGGAACAGTAAGGATGGTGAGCACGGATGCCCCTATGGTGGGAAGATTTTGAGCTTCGTGTTGCTGGTGAGCTAGGTATGTCTCAGTTCACCTTGAACTAAGGTTCGGCCTCTGCTCTCTCTGGGCTAATGATGAGTAAGTTGGCACCGACCAGGTCCCTTTACCCCGGGCCACCCTGCTTCACCGAGGTGAGCCCACCTAAACGGTTTACGGAGTGCACTACCTATCCGTACACACCAATAGATGGGATGATGTACTCCGCAACCGTAATGTGCCAACGTCTCTGTTCTCATTGAGTTGTTCAGCTGTTGCTGGTTCTCTGCAACTCGTCATCAAAGACCCAAGAAGCTGGGTGGGCTGACAGGGAACAAGGGAACGTGGAATCGTGGAAGCATGGAAGCATGGGTGAGGGGAAAATGATGATGGGGGGGGGGATTGGATTGAATTCAACGCCGTGGATCGTATCTGTTCTCTCAGTTTCCCTCACAGACATGGCGCGGAGAACGGGAGCTAATCAGCTCACGAATGGGCGCACCAAGGCTTAGAGGACCGGGCGGTTCACCACATGGGACAGGCACTCTGTTAAGCATATTGGATGACCTACTTACCTCTGCTTCTCTGTGTTTCTTCATGTCTTGGGGCTCCGTTTAAAGGACCGTGTTTTCAAGGCCATGGAGGCGCGCTACTTTAGATGCAAGGGACGTGCTCTCAAAACAACGTTCTTGAGACTGGGAAAGCTAAGCGAGAGAGCCTGCTCGTTGTTTTCTCCCATCCTCAAGACTCTACCGATATGTACCTTACTTCGTAACTATAACGTTGGGGGCGTTTCTTTATCCACGTTCACTCTTACCGTGCTTCACTATGAACAAGCATGATGCTCCGCAACCGGCTCCATCTACCGGTAAGTCATGGTATCCCAAGGTTCAAGTATCCGTACCTCACCTATATCTTTCCCACTACTTTGGGACCTGGGCACGCTACGCAGTCATCAATGTGCACGATACCCATATCTCGTTTGCTAGGCTATAGAGTAGTTTCAGTCTTCCCTGCCCTACATCGGTCACTAATTAGTGCGGCACTATCCGTGTGATATGGTAGCTTTACCCCAACGCCGCATCTCGGGCTCTCAGCCTAGGACGTCCTTGACCTTCTAGTCGTTTTCCTTGGTGGCGCCGTCGAGCGAGCAGTTGTGCTTGGCCGGGTCATCCAGACCTTGTGCTCGTTCACGGGTCAGGGAGCTCCTTGGGGTGGCCTTGGGTCGGGCGTTCGTCACGGCGGCGGCTTGTTTTGTTTTCCTCGTCAGACTTTGCGAACCACGTCAACGTCGGAAGAGCATAATGAATAATAATAGCGGCTGCTGTCGTGTGTTGCAATTAGCAGCCGTGTGTCAAAAAGGCCTCGACCCCGTCGCCATGGCCGGGTAGCACTGTTGCCCTCCTCCTCCTCCTTCTTCTTCTTCCTCTCCTTTACCTTGGTGGAATCAGCTGGTGAAGATAAAGTACGTGGTTCGTTCCATTGGAGGACAGCGGGCGCGCATCAGACTCGACAACCCGAAGCATCAACCAACCTAGGGCCGATCCCATGCGACGTAAGGTAACGGCTATCCAACCGTCCCCTTTTCCAACAAATACTGCCTACGCTATTCCGCGTCGCCCACCGTGTCGGCGCGACTCTAGCCAGTTGTGTTCCCCGCCGCCGCCCCCTGGTGCTCCGGCTCGAGCCAGTCCGGCCGACATTCTACTTACAGATGGGTGCTGCAGCATAGCCGCCATCAACCATTGCCGCGCAAAAGTCTGGCCCAGCTTCCAAGCCCCTGATCCGGCTCGAGTGTCGAGTATCGAGTCTCGAAAGCAGCCCTGGTCGGCTGGCATTTGAGGGTGTCAAGTGCAGAGGCCCAACCTTGCCGCTCATTCGGCCACTGCCACTACCAATTCGAATCAGCATCCCATAACTTGTGCAGTAATTAGTCCCCGTTATCCATACGACGCAACAAACGCACTCGACCGCCCTTTTCGCATCCAGGACCGGCCCACTTCCGCTTGGGCGAGCAAGAACTATCGTCGCGCTGTGCTGTCAGGAATCAGAAGTCAGGACCCAGGAGTCGGACCTGCATGAGACCCGGAGTCTCTCTTTCTAACAGATTACGTCTAAAACGTCGGCTTGACTGGCGACTGGCGACGAAATAGCCGCTTGGCTGGAGACCGGCCGTTCTTGCATCTCGATCAAGGTAGCCAGTCGTGGACGGGGAGCGAACTGTAAGTATTTATTGGAGGGTGGAAAGTGAGGTCAGTGGCCGATAGCATTTCTTACCTTTCTTGTCTTCCTTGCCTCCCATTCTTGCTCGAGGTGCCTTCCAAGTTGACAAGTTGAAGCTTTTGGTATCCGTAAGTACCTACCATTCACAAATACCTACCTATCCTTACCTTAAGGAGTACCCCCCCGTACGGTGTATCTGTACGGATACCTGAGAAGTGGCAGGAATGGAACACCGCCCATTTCTCCTTCTCTTTTCCTGCTTTCCTCTCGGCTCCTGCCTTGGTCTGCTTCCATTCCCACTCGTTCCTCCCCTCCTGCCCTGTGGCCTGCCCTGTCACCCTGTCTAGCTCTTCACCACGGGGCATCCTTCACCTGCAAGATACCCTGCAATTGCTGCTTCACCCCGGTCGTTCATTGCGGGCCTGGTATCCGTAGTGTACCCTTGCTGTACCTACCTTCAGGTACCTAGCCTGTCTCTCTATCTCTACCTTACTACGTATCTCTCTCTCTCTCTCTCTCTCTCTGCCACGCACGCACACGCACACAAACGCACCTCAAATCACCTTGCACTTGCAGGCTTGCAGGCTTGTAGAGCACCAGACGGGGGAAGGGGAGGCTAGAGCTTCTTGTCCACTTCCATGAGGTGGCAGCCAGAGCTTAGAGGTGCCCACCCAAGGTACCTTAATGTCGTCTGCCCGCCGTCGTGGTGTCTTTTCTGGTCTTCTACTCGTCTTCCAACACTCCCGAATTTTCTTTCCCTTTTCCCCTTCTTTTTCGCCCTCTCTCTCCCTCCTCCGGCCTGCCTGCCTGCCCATCTTTCGTCGTGCTTGCCGACGTCTTTTTCTTGTCTCGTCTGTTGAATTGCATCTCAAGGCCATTTCGCCTGTAATAATCTCACACTCTCATTTATCGTCTCTCGTGACGTCTTTTCTTTGCCTTTCCCCTTGTTCTTCTTCTTCTTCTTCATTGCCACAATCTTTTATCACTATAGTACATTATCTTACCCATTCCCTCGAATCCAGTCAATCACTCACTCGTTTCATCACATCTTGGCCGCCGCGGCTACTCCATACGCAACAACGTAAACCACCGACAAAGAATTCCAGTCGGCCCACGCGCCGTCCATCGACGACACTCTCACCCAACACACATTCACACACCTATTAGGTACCTTAATGAAGAAAAGCGGCCTTCTCATGCATTTGGAGCATTTTCATCTGGACCAATCCACTCAGGTCGAGGCAACACGGAACCTCTCGAGCTCAACGACGACATTGGACGTCTTCGACTCGACCTAATCTATTTCGACGAAATCCCCTTGGGAAATTTCGAAAAACCACCACGCATTTTGACCGCCCCGAGCTGGAGCTACAGCTACAACAGCCAACTACTTCCACACACCCTTCTCCACGGCGCCGCATGACCTCGACTGCCAGAGTTCGCACAATCAAAGCCATCTGTGATTGTTTCTCACCCTGCTTTTAATTCGAGATAGCTAGTGCACAGACCGGATCGGTGTCCGTCACATTCGTCACCCCCAGCCGTGCTGGTCTCAGCGAGTCAGCCGCTCCGAGAATTCCATTGCGCTCGGCCCCCGCCTGCTCCCGCAACCGCCCTATCCCCCGTTAAGCTCGGGTGCCACTCGCACTCCATGGCCCGGATACCCCACGCCGACAAAGACTACCCGCCTCGACGCTTACGCTTGTCTGCGAAAGCCACCGGTTTCTTCTTCCTCCCGCAGCCACCTCACGGAGCATGTCCGGCTCCGGGTCCGGGTCTGGGAGCCCCTCCCGGGGCAGCCCCTCCCGGTCCCAACGGAGGCCGTTACATGAGCGCTCCAATTCCCAGTCTAATTCATTAGCCATCCGCATCGTCCCCTACAGTCCGCCTCGTCCAAGCCACAAGAATCGAGACTCGACAGCCTCGGCTTCATCATCACGCACCCCCACATCGACGACCGCACTGCTATCTCCCAACCCATCGGGTTACGATCACACCAGCTATTCATGGACCGACGACCGTACCGCCAGCCGCGCCAGCGACCGCTACTCTCACAGACGATCTCACTCTTCCAGCACACGAACCTCAGTGCTGTCGCCAGCCTCCTCAACCTTCCCATTGGTGAGCGCCAAGGATAGCGGTGTTTCAGGCTCGAAACTGCGATCCGACTCCTTGCCCGGCGACGAATCGTCCCCCACCACCCCTGTCCCTACCACTCCACCACATCAGACCGATATTTCCCACGTTAATGCACGATCCCGGTCTACCCAACGCAGCGCCGACAATGAGCCTGTCACACCCTCAGCGAAGCGCCCCTTGTCCCGCCGTCGCAATCTCATTACGCTCAACGCCGATGGCAAGACCTTCTCCCTTTTGCCTCAGGGGCAGCGGGCCGGAACCCAAGGAGACCAGGCCACTAGCACCGCCCCAAGGTTATCACTTTCGACTACCGCCTCGCATGAGCGCCTTTCAGACGCCTTCAGTGAAAATCGTCCCAGCTCAACCGTGACTTCCTACCCAGATCAAAGCTTTGCTTCCACGTTGACCCCGGCATCCTCGACCACGCAATTAGCAGGTGATTTTATTACCAGCACAGCCGGGTCTTCGTCGTCTCCTTGGAACTATCGAATGGTTGGTGGCCTACGCAAGGTTCCCGACACTCCCGATCTCAAGCAGAAGCAAAAGTCGACGCTACTCTACCCGGAATCCGATCCAGTCCCATCTTACCCATCATCCCCATCAGGTTCTCGACTCGCGCCGCTGCCAGAGGCGCCAACCGCTGCTGATTCGTCTGAATCTTCCGAGCCCCACGATTTGCAGCCCAAAACCTCCTTTCAGTCATCCGTCACTGCGTCCACGACTTCAGAAAAGACGAACTACAAAGTCTACGGCTCCAATTCTCCCCAAGCGACCGACGTCGACAGTGTTTTACATGCGCCATCGACGACCTCCGAGACGACAAACTATAAGGTATTCGGTTCCAGCTTACCTTCTTCGCCCGAGCGAGAGGAGTCGTTGCAACCGCCATCCTCGAGCCACTCCAACTACGTAGTCCTTGGCCGGTCTTCGCCTCCAGAACCATCATCTGCCGAGAGAAGTCCCCCAAAGACGGCCGATAGCGAACAGAATTACGTTGTGCTCAGCGCGTCGTCCCCAGCACCATCATCCGCCGCCTCTAGCCGCCGTTCCCGTATCAGGCCCGAGTACTCGCAGGAAAGCCTTTTGGTGGCTCCGCTGAAACCCTACAAGGCGAAGAAGAGGGCCAACGAAAGGTTTGGATACTACAAGTCGCGTTCGAGGGATTCCTTGCGCCGTGCAGCGTCGGTGAAGTCGATTTCCGGCTCACTCACTCTCGAAGCAGCCCAGAATTTCCTCGCCTCTCCTGCTGCATTCTATCGATCCCGTGTTCTGGCCAGCCAGCCAGGTCGGCAGCCTGACGCGCGAGCTGCGCCAACGGAACCCGCACCCATTTCTGTTCCTGCTGAATCCCACATGACCACCCATCCTCACCAATGGAGCTCCCAACTATCCACCGTGATTTCGGAGAGTGAAGGGGACAGCGAGCCTCCATCACGTTCCGTGTCTCCATGGTCTGTGCCTGGGAGACGGGGTAGCATACCGTTGAGCAGCCATAGCCGGCAGATGCTTAGCATTTCGTCATCGCTAGCTGCAAACGAGGAGCGCTCACTCTCTCACTCCAGATCCTTCACGGACTCTCTCGAACGCCCTCAAGCTACACACAGCAGAGGGAACACGCTTCGCATGGTCAGCGATCGAGACGAACATGGCGACGGCCTGGCAGAGCTGAACCAGCTGCATCAACGGCCTTCGCGGACCGGCCTTTCAAGCTTCTTGTCGAGTTCCTCGTCAGACCGGAACCTCCACTCCTCTAGTAGCTCCCGTGCAAACAGTCTTAACTCAGCGTCTATCCCCGCTTGGGCCAAGTAAGTCAACCCGATATCCTGCAGGAGGCAGCGTGATCTCGGTAATTGGACCTCAAGCTAACGTAGCCGCCTACTTGCAGATTCTACTACGGAAGCGGGGAACGTCGCTTTCTTGCCAGCTCGGGAGACTCGATTATGTCAGATCCGAATGATAGCCGGCCACCAAGCTCGTTCCAAAGCCGTTCCCCCAGTGTCGAACAGCTCGCCATGAACATCTACAGCCCCAGGCGGCGGCCGAGAGAGGTGAACCTTGCCAACCCTCGGCCACTGTCAGACGTCGGCTCCATGGAAATCAACCAAGCACCGTTGACAGACAACCGAATGCGCAGCGGGTTAAGGAAGAAGACATCCAGTATCTGGTCACCCCACTTGCGGCGTGATCAGAGGGCTGGTCGTCACAGCATCTGGGAACCACCTTCTATGACGTGGTCAGCCGAGACAAGCATGCTGGGGAAGCGAAACGTGCAGGTTGCTTTCTTCGCTCTGGGATTCATTTTCCCGTTTGGTGAGACACTCCTACTCCACGGTACTGTATTGACACAAGGCTAACCTGAGCCAGCATGGATGATTGCTGCCTTCCTTCCGCTACCCCCGGACCCTCAAGCTGAGATGGCCGAGCGCGACCCACGATCAAGCCTGTTGGACGAAGAACGAGACCTTCCTCGGCGAGTTGCAGCGGTTGACGAGACTCTTTTCCAAAGCGCCCGTTGGTGGCGTGCACTTAATCGGTACATGTCCGTCATTGGTCTTCTGGTCGTTGGCGCCATTGCGGCTCTCGTTGTTGTCGGCGTAAAGCAAGGCTGGGGCCAAATGGTGTAGCCGCCTACTCCCTGCCGCCTCCTTTCTAATTGTATGCACCACCTCAAACAAAGGGGTCTGGTGCCCGAACACGCCGCGGTACACATCTTTTGGCCCCGGCAGCAAATATGTATTCATCAAAAGCATTATTGGCCGTTCAAGTTCAGCGCAGCGGCATCACGATTAGGGTAACGACTAAATCCCTTGACGAATCTACGACATCAGTTATTTTTCTTTCTCATATAGACATACACATACCAAGTGTTCTCGGCAGCCGACCATCCGGCAATTTCTACCATCTAGTCTAATGGCTCCGCACAACGAAGACGCTTGCTAGCCATACATAGTTCGCTGTAATTGTACACCTGGCCAGATTGGGCCATGCCCTTGATGACAACATTATGGCATTTCCTTCTGATTTTCTCTCGTTGGGCGACTTGGATTGCTTGACGATACCCCCCTTGACTTTACACGGGAGTCAAACATGCTGGGATTGGTGTTGGGTGATTGGAGACGACGGTGCCAGACAGTGGCATCACGTTACTGTTGTGGGATATAGACATCATATTATAATGGTTTAGTTTTAGATCTGCATAGCCTGCAATGTCTAATGACCTGCCCTTGGAGGGCTTCTTACAACCCAACGCCTCGCCCATTTCGCGACTTTGATAACAGCTCTGGACCCATCAACGCTGATTCCATATATGCCGGAACAAGGGCGACTCTGGATCGAGACGGGAACAATTGTTTGCAAAGATGCCGCCCTTTCCCGGTCTTCAAGCAGCTTTGCTTCTTTGCCTGGCTTCCACCTCAGCTTTGATTTCTTCCATGGCCTCGTCAATCTCTCGCTGAGGGTCCGCCGACACACCCAAGACCGGTTCCCGGCCTGAAAGACTGTCTTGGCTCAAGGTACGGGTCAGCTTGGCACCGCCTTTGCCTTGACGTGCCTCGAGTTGCTTGCGAAGGATTTGTTTTGCCGGAGAGGCAAAGAAGGCCATGGAAAGCGCAGTGCCAACAATGGTATAGAAGTAGACACGAGCCCATACCTGGACCGAGCCGGAGAACTCTAGAACAAGGAATGGGGTGACAACGAAGGACATGCCGATTTGAGTAACGAAAAGCGAGAGGACGTCGTAGTAGACCTTGTTGGAAGTGGGCGCACCGCTGGTCGCGTCGAGGAAAAAAGCGCGAAAGTAGCGACGATAGTCTATCATAGATGTTAGTCCATCATAGCACTAGTGCTTCTGAGCCTACAGCGGCTCTCTCACAGGTGTACTTACTCTTGGCGACAGTTTGGATGAAGCTGGCGAGGATGAAGCTCATGTAATAGCCGGGATAGAACCCATGCCAGAGGGCACTAGTACTGAACGTGAGAAGACTGGCGCGGAATCCAGGCTTTTTCCCAACAGGCGTAACCCGTAGGTATACATAATTCCTCAACCAATTGTTGGTGTTGATATTCCAGTTGCCTAGGTAGGCACGCGTGTTCTGGGCTGTCTCGACGCCCCAGGGGTTGATGTTCTGTAACCTGTTCCATGACACTTTACCGGTGACAGGATCAACACCATTGTAGCCCAGGCCGGCCAAGATACAAGCGCCCTCGGTCAAGCACCAAACTCCATAGTATTTCAAACGGGCGGTAAATCCGACCATGTGAAGAATCCATACCCTGTGGAAAAACCCATGATCCATGTACGAAGGACTCGTTAAGTAGGTGATTGGGTAGTAGCCAGAGAGAATCATGAAAAGCGCAATCCACCCTAGACCACTGGCAGCTTTCAAAGTAGCAGGTGTCCCACTACGAGGGATCTTTCTCTTCTTCCTGACAGGAGGCTTCTTTGAGGGGTCGACTTGGGCCGGAAGGTCGAACATTGTGGTGTCTATCCATTTGCGGTAGTCGGTGTAGTCAAAAGCCGGTCCGGCGAAGAGCGAAGGAAAGAAGAGTACGTATCCAGCATAGTCCATAATACTGGGTAGCTCGATCAGTCTTCTTTCTTTCTGGTACTCGGATACCTGGTCGTCCGGGAGCTGACCGTCCGCAACGTTCCAGCAGAAACCGCTAAGCTTCATCAAAAGCACCATCTGGGCGCCAGTGATATCGACGGAAGACGGGCTATTGGCCACTTGACGAGCGATGTGACTTATGGACATGTGGCCCATGAGAAACGTGAAGCCGACCCATGGCATGAATGGGCTGGTGCGCATATACTTCGCAATGCTGTAGATGCCGGCAGAAGCGATAGCTAGGGTGCGCACTCCATCCCACAAATCGAAAAGGCCGACCAGATAGAAAGTGGAGGTGCTAGTCCAGGAGCCGAAGTGTCAATGACAAGACCGGTTGGAAGAGACAAAGGAGCCAGCCTGGGTATCTGCTGGGTAGCATACCTTATTATGAAGAGGTTTTTGAGGTCAGGCCTGGAGTCGGGTACTCGTTTGAGCAAGCCAGCTAACGGGTATGATATGAGGAACGAGAAGACGAGCTTGACTGGAAAATCGTGGTGTCAGTGCTGGTGCTCTATTGGGACGAGGGTTCATAGAGCTTCGCTATGTAGCCGAGCTTGATGGGAGGGACCGACGTTCGTCTGGAGATGCGCCGATGCGCGAAGCAAGAAGCTCGAAAGCTACAGAGGCAAGAAAAAGTTAGCAAGAGAGGCTTCAGTAGTGGAAGAAGCCGACATAGGTAGAGTCACAAGGTATTAGTCGAGGGTGCATGTTACGTACGCTTATGAATGAAGGGTAACATGTTGGCTAGAACTGCCGCTACCACTTGTCGAATAGATCCGACGACGACGCCAAGGTGCGAGGCTGACTTGCAGTAGGAAAAGACGTTGAAGAAACGCTTAGTCCATATCTCCTTGGAGATGAGTTAGAGGAGAAGCGAAACACCGAGAGGTGGAGGCTCGGAGAGATCGACCTTGCGCCGAGGGAAAATAAGCGATGAGTTGGGGAGTTGTCAAATGAGGTTTTTTGACTTTGGTAATGGATGTTGGGATCATGTGGCGGCGTGACAACTTCGGATGACGGGACGGGAGCTAAAGTAAGCAGGAGACAGCTGATTATGCCAACACAGCTATGATTGCGGATCGTCTCAAGAAGAGGAAACGAACAGCATTTTGGTGTGACGGCTGAAATGGCACGTGGACCTGTTGGCGATGGGCCATTCTCAGATCGCAAGGGGGAGGCGACGGTAAAGGCGTCCCCTGGAACTTCTACCCCCACCAACCTAACAATACTAACGGATTTCCTTGCCTCCCCTCCTCTAGGAAGAAACCTTAGACTTAGGAAAGAGAGAAGAGTAGAGCTAGTAGAAGTATAGTTTCTTATTAAAATTCGTTTTTTTTGAATTCAGTTTTTTTTTATATAAATATTAGTAGTCAAAAATAATATTAAATATATAAATTTATATTTGTAAATATTAATAACGTTAATTGAGAACGGCTAAGTTATATTATAGTTATAATAACCTTATTTTGAGTTTATTTGAAAAAGAAAATCAAAATTAATAAATTAAAATCTCATAAATCAATACTACCATAAGCTTTCTTCCGTGGTTTTCCGAGGCCACGTTGAAGAAAGCTTGGATATGGCATAGTCAGGGTGCCCTTTGCCACATGCCTCAGCTGCCCACCCTAATGTACTGTGGAGGGTGATGTCACAGATCCTGATGGCTGATAACTAGGTATATTCTACCTCATACAGTTCTATAGGGGAGCCCCACGTACATCGGTCCCAAGCTTTTCAACAAGAACCACCATTGCTTCCTCACTCACCTGAGATTGGGGTGTTAAGGTAGTTAGGTACATTGGGGTAGCCTGGCAGCTCAGGTGCAGAAAATACCTAGTCAAGCCATTCTAACAAAGACACGCTGATGGCTCGCGTTTCTCTCTTGAGAACCATTTACAACTTCAAATCCCACGAAGCAAGCTGCCCTACTCTAAACTTTGACGTGGGTACATGGGGCGCTGTCAGCGTCGCAATTTTCTTCAACCGATTGGGGCGCCTCGGAGTTTTCAGCGTCTCAACCAAACTCACCGCCACATCTTGTTGAATCAAATTGTTAAAATGGATCGCAGATATGTCGGCCCCCCCCCCCCCTTGCCGACCCTTTCACAACGGGAAGGCTGTCAAGGCTTGTGTAGAATCAGTGTCATGGCATTACAACATTGCTAAATCGTCCACAGTACTGTACTATCGTTCCACATTCATTTCGTCAGCAAACGAAATGTTGCAGTATTCTAACACGCCTTTTCATATCTTATCATCTCGTGCTTCTCCTTCTTCCGCTGTTCCGCTCACATCCCAAAGGCTGAGCATGCATCGCGGCACAAGTTTTCTTGTCTATTCTGATCTCAAGAGCAGAGCGAAGCCGATTCTGGCCGACTTCAAATGCTATGATGCCCTCGGCCATCACTCCTGCACGGCTGTCAAAAATGGGATAGATGACGGCCGTCACCAGCGTGCCACCGACACAAGGGTCTCACGCGGACAAGCTACGCCCAAATTTGTCTCTTCTCCGGCAACCTTTCCATACTGGCAGCCACTACTTGTTCGCATCCCTGTTGCTCTGCGAGCTCGCGCTCATGGGTTGTGTCGTCGGCAATGACATCTTGGAAGCCTCCGTCTGACGGATTCTTGCCCACGCGTAGACGATACCGCTGATGAAGCCAACAACAATGGCCGACACACTGCCAAATGTGACAGGAGCGTCGAAGAAGACCAGACCACTGATGGCGATGGGAAGCTTGTTAAGTGCGCCAACCACAGAGTACGTCGTTGACGAGGTCACGCGAATGCACCATGCAGAGCAGTAGGAGATGAAGATGGCGCAGAGTCCCGAGTAGATCATGCCGACAAACAGGCTGTTGCGCGACTCGGCGGGGAAGTTCTTCTCGATGTTTGCCGAGGACCAGTCCTCGGCAAGGAATGTGCAGACGATTAGGACGGGAATCGTCAAAAGGTTGTTGTAAAACATGGCTTCACGACACACTCGTCAGTAAATTCTGCCAATCAAGGGGGAACGTCTAGACGTTCAGGGCAACTCACTGTCCCAGTCCTTGAAGTTCATCTTCTTGATGACTTTGCGCATTCCCAGCACATATGCCGCAGTGCAGCAAACGTTCATGCCCATCCAAGCGTACCCAGCGTTCAAGGTCGAAACGGCGGCAGATGCTTCGGCAGACTGCGAGCCCCCTCCTAGAGCATGCTGGACATCAGCCCAGGCGGCAACAACGGAGCTGAGGACCATCAGGCCAAAAGAGAGAAGGGCAAGAGGGCTGACACTGCCGCCGAACCACAAAACCTCGCCGTACGCGATGACGATGATAGTCAAGTTCTTGAAGATGGTGTATACTGGCACAGAGAGGAATTGCAAGGCCTTGGTGCCCGTGTAAATCATGCCAACCAGGAGGAGTGCGATAGGGAACCCTGCAGATGGTAAGCTTTGGCCGATGCCTGCATCACGTAGGTCAAGACTAACATTTCTTTGCCTTGTCAGTGTCGAAGGGCGCCAGGTTCGTAATCATTCCGAGGTTCTTGCAGACGATGATGGTAAGGATGCACACAATGGACTGGATAGCAGGGCTGAGTTAGAGGTGTCCGCGACTGAGGATTTGCCTTGGATTGAACGCACCTGGACAGCAAGGTAAAGAAAGTTCAGGTTCCAGAACTGGCCGGAAACAACGTATTTGTTGACGACTGTCATGCTGATGGAAGAGAAGCAGTAGGCGAGAATGGCAGCGCCGGGACTGTTGTCAATCTTGCTGATTGGCGATCCAAGAGCAGGACGCGACCTTGGAGGAGGCCGAGCAAGAAAGCCATCCTTCTCTCCAAACGACTCGGAGGGGCGGAGCTCGTAATCCTCGTTCTTCTTGTCCGACATGATGGCGCTCGGTGTATGGTTGTCTGGACGGTGTGTGAAGTTGGCAGTGGAAGCAAGCTGGCTTCAACGGGTTTGGCGCAGGACGCGGCCTTGGAGCTTGCGAATGCGCCGAGATTCGGTGACGAGAAGAGTTGTGTTTGACCGGCCTCGCGAACTCGACGAGGTAGAAGGTACTGATGTGTTGATCGAGTCGTTACTGCGGTCCTCCACGTGTCGTTGTCTGCGGACGCGGCAATCTGGCTCTAGAGAAGCGTTGTTGAAGATCTGGGGTCAAGAAAGAAAACGGAGGTTAAGGGGGTCAAATGCTCTTGGGCATTACAACGGACGGGACGGGAACGCAGGGGAACACGCGTGCGCCTACCTACCAAGGGTCACGGAATTCCACCTCAGATTGGATGGCCTTAGTGCTTTCTATAGGCCAGGTGGAGAATCTCGGGGCACGTAAGCTCCCAAAATACCGCCCGCGACAGCCCAGCCAAGGAGCCATAAAAGTATCTTTGGTAAGAAGGGGTGAATGCAAGGGACCACTGGACACACCTAGCAGCCCCAGGGGTGCACCATTCCAGTTCAACCACAGGGCACAGTAAGGGAAAGTGTCACGCTGCCTCACCCTGGTTTTTTGGGGGGGGGTTTTTCTTTCCTTTCCTTTTTTTGCTCTTCTTCTTCTTCAGAATTACGTAAGGCAAGGACCGTAAGGTTGGCCTCTGGCGCTGTCTTTCGGGGTGGTAACCTACGTGCCTACCTACTTTATCCGTACATGCCAATGTACGTGAGATACTCGCACTGCTTTCTTGTAGAAGAATATCCCCAATATCTGGCAAAGCTTGAAGCACGGAGAACTATTTGCTTGCGCATTGCAGTCTACGAGAGGCAGGAGCCACCGTTCGCATCTTCGCCATTGAGAAAGAAGATCAAAGAACTGAAAATTCACTATGACTCGGCACACAACTTCTACGCAGTTCCCTGGCCAGGCGCATCCTGCCCAGAGTCGGCCATGCTTTCATCTTGATCTGCCCGAGCCTCCTTTCCCTCCCCTTCATCGGGCGGAGCGGGGAAATTCAGATGTTTCCAGTCCTCCAATTCTTCGGTGACGGACCGCAGCCTATCACGAATACTCTCTATTGCATAGCTCCCCAGAAGGAGACGCAGCGGGGGATACGAGCAGTGAGCCAACTGCCAGACGAGCTCCGCGCACTTGACGGCGCTTGTCGGCTGCCGGTCACCGAGCCACTGGACCATTCTTTTGGCATGCAATGCTGGTGATGTTGCCTGCGCGTAGGCATCGCTCGCAGGTTTGATGAGGAAATGACCCCAGGTTGGTAACGGCGTTGCAAGGGTATCTGGCTCGTCCCTTCTGACGAACCCTGGCTCTACGAGTGTTGCCTTGACATTGAATGAGTCTGTCTCATAAAGCATAGCTTCTATGAGTCCCTCGACGGCATACTTGGTTGCACAATAGGGGCCGAGGCCCGGAACGCCCAGAGCTCCTGACGTGGAGCTGAAAATCAGGTAGCGGCCGCCGTTCTGTTGGCGAAAGTAGGGTAGGCTGGCTTGGATGATGTTCAAAGTGCCCATGAAGTTCGTCTCGAACTGATTGCGGATTTCGTGCTCGTCCTGGTCCTCACATGCTCCAATTACGCCATAGCCAGAACAGTTGGCTACAACGTCAAATCGCTGGAACCGTTCCAAGGTCCGTTCAATGACCCGCGCTACCGAGTCTCTCGCTCGAACGTCACACAGCATCCCTAGGCAATTTTCACTGTCCTGCTGTGCTACCATTTCCTCTGGCGTCGTCTCGAACACACGACCCACGGAAGTGACGAGATCTCCTTTGGACAAGGCGGACTTGACAAGAGATCTACCCATGTGGCCGGTTCCACCGAATACCTACACAGGAAGTGCTTAGTCAACGTCAGAAAGTAAGATGAGGGTGTCCCATCACTTACAACCCAGACCAGCTGCTTTCTCTCGCCGTCAAGTTGTGGTGGATCACAGCTTGCTGGGAGTTGAAGCTTCACTCTTGACGGTCCATCCGCGGGAGTCGCGCTGTTCTCACTACACACTTCCATCGCGCTTATTTCACAGACTCTGGGTGACGTTACGAGCTCTACGCAGCTCTATAGATAACCTCGCGGCCTTTTGGCAGTCGGTATGGAAGCAGTCTTCAGAGAGGCAATCGTTGCAGCTCGTTTGTTACGGAAGAGAGTTACTAGATGCACTGTTGGCGGTGAGATGGAAGGAAAGGGGACGGTAGAATGCCGGTGGCTGTGGCAAGTGCAGATACGCGAGCCATTAAACCAATATAGAGTAAGATGAGGTATGGAAAAGAAAAGTAAATCGAATGTGAGATTTCAGCTTGCTCAGTGCATCCACGTGTGAGACGACGTGAAGGGCAAAATAAGGATTGGTGGCCTTGGGGAAGGCCTACCTGGGCAAGGTACTTTTGCCTGCTCCAATGATCCCGAGGCCGATGAGGATGTGGTTGTTGAAGGTCGCAAAGTGACCAGTGCTTATTGCTGAATGAACCCGGCGATTTCGGTAGATGAGTACTGGTATATCCGTACCCCACTTCCCCATGCCCTCTTCTTAATCCAGGTACATGCATAGGCAGCTGGGTATCCGTATACCGGTATGTCTCGATGCATCTAAAATTAGCTTTTGATGCCATTTCCACGAGCCTCAGCTACAGGATGAGTGTCGGATGATTCTCGCATTGCCTCCTCATGACGGTCAAGGTAGGTAGGTAATGCTGGATGGGCCAACGGCATTCTCCGCTGTCTACTGGTTCCAGTAGCGCACCAAAGCTGAGAGCGCCAGGTGTGATTGATCCTACGAGTGAGTGGCCTTTAAGCGTTGGCGTCTAGGGGTGGGCAAGCCGGTATTCGTTTGATGGAGGAATCACAAAATAGAGACAAATGTCTTGGAATCTCGTCACAATCGCGCTGTGCAATAGAGGGAGGTGTTGGTATAGGCATTACCCAGTCTAACGCCTGTTTGCCAAGTCGCACATTAGCCAAGAAGGAGCCTTCGGGGGAAGATTTGCCGTAATTACTCGGAAACAAGTTCAGAGTGCAAAGGATCCCGCAAGTGACAAGCAGCATCTCCATATTCCCACTAGATATCTTATCCACGTGCTTCGCTCATGCCCACCAAATCTCCCACATGTACCATGTCCTTGGCTGTTGTTCATGCTGGTAAGCCGTTCTGGAGGTATTGCTCAACGTACTCTTTCCTGTGCGGGTTCACATCAAGGTCCTTCGTCCTGTTCAAAGGGGTCCACTTAGGCTCATCTTTGAAGAGCCTCATTGCCTTAATGTACTATTGACTGTTAGCAAACTACATAACCTCTAGATATATGCACTGCTTACGTTAGACTCGTCAGTTGTGAAGCGGTGGTAGATGCCAGGAGGCAGGATAATTAAGTCGTCCTGCCAATGGTCAGCTGGCCGCAGCGCCATTTGTCGACGAACGTGGCGATATTACCTTCTCAACACGGATACGAACCCAAGCGTCGTCGGCGCTTCTCACGTCAAAGAAACCTTGACCGTCGCGAACATAGCGAATTTCCTCATCCTCGTGCAAGTGCTCGTGGAAGAAGGATTTAACCTTTTCCTCGTAGATCTCGCCCATCTTCTCCGGCGACACAACAATCTCGTCTCGGTTCCGGTACCCGCGGTCCGAAGCCAGCTGGTTGACCCCATCCAGATCAGGGATTTGGTGGTAAAAGACACCAAGCTTCTTCAGATCTTCGACGGTAACCTCCTTACCAGAGTCATGTGCCAGGCGCTGGTCACCCTATAGCGCCGTTGATAGTTAGTGGATGATTACTATCAAGGACTCAAGCTTTGGTCATTTTGAAGATTCTAAAGAAATGCTTCTTCTCAACTTACATCAAGGCCGTCATACCAATAAGCCTTCATGTTGGTGAGTGGGTAGTGTGTCGCAAGCCTGAGAGTTGTGCGTAAATAAGACTGAGAGAGTTTGTATGCCTATATAGATTGCACTGTAAATAGTCCGTATCAAACTATTCCGAAAAGTCGAATATCAAAAGATTCTGTGATTGGCAACAATGTTGAGCTGGTATTACCTCGATTGCGCTTTGAAGGCACTGAAGAGGTCGGGTTCACTTTTTGTATTTGAAATGACGCAATTGGCTCAGCAGGTGGGGTCATCAGAAGAGGTGCTGGAAATGAAGCACGTCGTTGTCCGTCCGTATCTACCTTACCTACACTAAGGTGCCTAAAGGCTAAAGGTAAGGTCAGGTAGCACGTGGGGCTGCCATAGGTCATTCCGGCTGGACCCCACCACCGGCGCGCGCTGCAGCAGCCCGACCTTTCTTTGCGACCTCGCGTGAAAGTCAAGACGGCCGGAGCCGGGGCCACGACTACAGCCCGAGCTGTGAATTGGCTACCTTACCTCAAGGTACCCGAAGAAACAGCAATGCTAGCTAAAGCACCTTGACTTACGACACAGTAGAGGGAAGACGCACGTTGCAAAAGCGAACACGGAGAACGATGCATGCAATACGTTGATCTGTGCTTTCGCCTGGCACAACTGTCGGGTGTAGAAGCTAGCTCTAAGGTATCTATGCTTATGGCAAATTCAAGCCTAAGGTGCTTCGTTGATGAAAATCATGCATGGATACAAAGACATATGCCGTTCAATGGAGATATCGATACCCCAACGCCAAGAACCATGCAAATATTGCTAATCCCACCAGCTCTTTCTACCTTCTTTCCCGTCCACCAATAGGTTTGCCAAACATGTCCCATCATCGGACATCAGCAGCAAGCTCTGGGCCTCCAGCAATGGCAATCTCATTGTTGATGCCATCAGCTGTTTCCTCCACCTGTCGTCTCTCAAAAAGCCTCCTCCACCAGCCTGGAGGATCGAACGGGCGCGATCCATTGTGCAAAGGCGGGTATACATCGGTAAAGAAGTACCAGATGTGTCCAATCACCACGCCCATAATTTCATCCTTGGGAATAGAGCCATGGAGAATAAGGCTGAAGGCCATCAGAACCCACGGTAGGTAGGGGGCTGTGAAGACCAGCAGTCCAAGGAAGCTCAATCTCGTGTCCGGGTTACGCCGCGACCAAATATAAACGAGAGTTGAAGAGAGTGGGTGGCCCAAGAATGGCATTGAGACCAGTGGCGACAAGAGAAGAAGACTCGCCATGGAGTACACGAGCAACCAGGAAAAGTGTGCTGGGGAGCGGCCAGAGGACTCTTCGAGTAATCGTGCGTAGCGTTGAAGGAAGTAGACGTGGAATAGCAGATCGAGCGAGAATGGACCGAAATAGAGGAACGTAGTCAGAAGACGCCAGTACTATGAGGATATTCAGAGTGATCAGCAATGTTTCAGGTATCTTCGGGGGAGAACTAGATTGTCGTGGGGCTGCGATCAACGCGCAACACATCAGCAAATGGAGAATGGGAGACGTTGGCGAACCTGGGACTTGGCGAAGACAGCGCGAAAGCTGTAAAACAACTGAAAGGGGGTGACCATTTGACATTGAACGAGAGCGCTAGTCAGAACGGTAGCAGTCGTCCACCATCTGGTGCATATGGGCATTTCCCAGAACCACGTCTCAAGGGGGAATCGGCCCCCGTCACCCATCATCTGGTCCATGCTGCGTAACGAATTGTGATGAGAGTGCTTCAGAGGCCAAGATTCGTTGGCGAAGAAGTTGCCCTCATTGCCTGCCGTGTCGGAGCTGTGCGGAAATCGAAGGGTGTGAAATGCTGTTTAAGTATCTTGGTCGTCTGAGTGTGTACCCAGGTTGAGGGACGACGGATAACACCACGTTTGCGATGCTTGTCGACAGAAGGGACCAAACGACTGACTGTGACAGCACGGAAGGACGTAGTTGAATCGGCAATAAATCGTCAGATAAGTCGCCGGCTTGGGAAGTGACTGAGGTCACAGAGGATGGGAGCACGACTGATGGCCTGTGATGTAGTTAGGTTACAGGTCCGGAGAGGTGGCCTCTGAGTAACGTAGGTAGGCACCGTGCCTAGCGAGTAGGAATTAGGTAGGCACGGTCGGCACCTTGAGCGCTGACGAACGGTTGATACCGATTAATTTACTGAGGTGAAGTGGGGAGTGGAGACAGCTTGGCAACCAATACCTAACAACAGCAATCAGGTACCTTAGTGCCTTGTAAACTGGTACCGTTCCTTCCCATATTCGCGGATACTTACGTTCCATTACCTAGTGTATCACGTGCCATCGGTAAACCCAAAGGTGTGGAATGGTGCCCCATCAGCCTCACAGCGCCTGATTCCTAAACAGACAGCCCTGCATAGCAAGTGGCGCAGTACGCGTAAAGTGGCCTGGGGTAGCCTTGACACGCGTTAAGGAACACGCGAAACGCGTCCAGATTCAATTTCCCTGAAAATCGCGGGGCTGGTAGCGCACTACAGTTCAAGTCCTATCGGAATGGAAGAGTGGCTCGATTACCTTCGTTACTCCTTCAACACCACCATGATCACCTGCAAGCTGCAATCTCGTCCCGGCTTCTAATCCGCCAAACATAATAGATGAAGCTCAGTTAACCTTCATTATTCAGTCCCTACTGTCGCAATCCCTATCGAGACTTTCCTACGATCCATTTGGTCGCTGCCTTCACTCTCGCAACCTTGTCTTGGTTATCGCACTTGTCCGGCCCTCCTTTGGACGCTCACGTCGCCCCCTTCAGTCAAAATAAGGATCCCCGAGCAGACGTCTGCAAAACAGACTTCGGAAAACGCCGGCCATCGCCATGCCCCCGAAGAAGAGACAGTCAGACGCTATACGTCGCAAATCGCGACAGAGCGATGTCCAACGTAAAGATTCTGCTACCCCGTCCGCGCAGAACGGGCGCTAACGAGGAGCAGCTGGCGATCCGATCCCCAATCGAGGCAAGCGACGCTACAGACCAGGGACGGTTGCTCTTAGGGAGATCCGGAGATACCAAAACGGCACCGACCTTCTGCTGCGACGTCTTCCCTTCTCACGTCTCGTACGTTCAGATGAACCCAGTCAATACTGTAGGACAAGTTAGGCTAAACGTTCCCTCTAGGTTCGCGAAATTGCCGAGTCGGTCAGACCTCGAGGCGAAGCTATGCGATGGCAGTCACAAGCAATCCAAGCACTGCAAGAAGCTGCCGAGGCTTTCTTGGTTCACCTTTTCGAAGATACAAATCTCTGTGCGATTCATGCTAAGAGAGTCACCATCATGCAAAAGGACATCCAGCTTGCAAGGCGGATTCGCGGCGTATGGGGTGGCCTCGGCTGAAATTACCAAGGACTACCGATCTATGGGGCTTCTTACGGTCACCGAACCACCTTGGTGAATACCTGGGGCCGCCCCCTGGGCATTGCTCGCTATGTTTGCGAACACGCGGGGTCCTTCCCACGAGATGCATAATTTCTCTGGCTTCTGTTTCTGTTATATCATGGTTGTGCGGATACCCCTTCTGGGATGGCGGTTTCTTCTTGACATTTATAGGGGGTGGGGAGTTCGTGGCGTTGGCGATGCTGCTTTATCAATTGAATGTCAACACCTTTTGGCATGGCCATGCGGTGTGACTTACCAGGAAGGTTACGTTAGAAGGTAGGAAAACGCCAAGGCATTGAGGCATCAACTCTTGACGCCCTCAAGTAACGAGGTCCTTCAAAATAGTAACCAGATATAATCATTACCAGAAACACATGCAACAGCGTGATCAATTTACCTAAAGCCACATACCATAATGGGCAGGAGAATTGATACGATAGTCTTCCTAGGAATCCAAACATACATGGGCATACATGGCATGTCTCCAGGTATCTCGATACCTGGTTCCAACTCACGGTTCCCAGGGTGCCTAGCACCCTAGGTAGCCAACGGCGCATCGGCGGTACGGGTCTCCAGGCCTGCCAGGTACACCTAGACCCCCAATTCGCTTCCGCAATCTACCTTACGCTCCGGACTGCCACATCGACAACGCACGTCAGTGGCGTATCTGAGGTTGTCATGTTGGAAAGTCAGGTCGCCCGACCAAATGCCTCTGTTCAACCATGCCTCATTCGCAAGGTTATGGAATGTACCGTGCCTTAGATGCTTATGTAAAGAAAAGCAACAAAAGTATAAGACTAGTAGTACCTTACCTAATGGAGGATAAATCAATGATTGCAAGGCACGAGTGGCACGTAGGAAAGGTGCACATAATAAGCATGCCAAGGTACGACTCTTCGCTTGCAAACATATTCTCGCTAAGTCTCTCCCTCCTTCCTCCCCCCACATGCAGCAACGTTGGTCGACTTCGCTTTCCATCTGAGCTGAAACATTCCCATGAGCGGCCTCCTCTCAGCAAGAATTGCCGGCCGGCGCCTGGCTTGGCCGATCGGCGCTGGCTTTTGCGTTACCTACTCACTTGTCCATCGACAAACGCCTGGAAACTTTGGCTCTCATCTCACCTCGACCGCGGCATCGCCCAATCGCGCGCAACATCGCCGTTCGTTTGGGAGCTTGAATCCAGAATCGATGAGACAGCTTTCGCGCGGTAGCATCTATGGTATGAGAATCATACAACCCCGAACGGTATTTCTTGTTAATACTGCTATAGGATTTGGAGTTGGACTTCTCGTCGGCTTTCTATCTCACACTCTGGCTCTGCTTACCGGCCTAGCCATGTTCACCGTTTACGTACTTGCTACCGCTCCCCAGGGAACTCGCTCGTCGGGTTATGATTGTTTGAATTCGGTGCTAACAAGCGTTCCACAGCTTGCGCATCGATATGGCTTGGACTTGCCCCAGCTTCTCGGCGTGAAGAAACATCTAAACAAGGCTATTCTGACAAAGCCTTTCCACAATGCAGTTTTCCGGCTATCTTTCGCAGCTACCTTTACTCTCGCCGCCTTTGTCCGCTTTTAGGTCTGGTAACCTCAGAAAGGTTGCGTCTCCCGGGTCAGCCACGCTAGGGTCAAGAGGTCATTCTGGAAATAATCCTTCGTTTTCTGGAAGATTTCCGCGTTGTGCTTGTTTAGCCACGCCTTCTCTTCCACTGTCAAGAGACTGGGCTCAATCAAATTTTGGCAGTATGGGACCATAGTGACGTGCTCGAACCCCAAATAGGGCTTGTCGCCAAAAGAATGCTTTGTCTTGACTTCGGTTACCATTGCGACGTTCTCGATCCGAATGCCATATGACCCGTCCTCGTAGAATCCTGGCTCGATCGACACTACGTTGCCTGGTGCAAGAGCGACTTCGGCAAACTGGACTCTGGTGCCGATACCGATAGGGCCCTCATGCACGTTGAGGTATGACCCAACACCATGCCCAGTTCCATGACGGTAGTCGAGGCCTTCTCTCTGGGGCGCAGGCAGTATTAGTTACCCATTTCTGCTGGTCGAGACTATGATTTAATACGTACCCATAAGTGCTGGCGAGCCAAGCAGTCAAGCGCAAAGCCAGTTGTGCCCTTGGGAAATATCGCAGTGTCCAGTGCAATGTTCCCCTTGAGCACCAAGGTGTAGGCGAGCTTCTCGGCTTCCGTAGGTTGTCCGAAGTGCAAAGTTCTTGTTGTATCGGTGGTTCCGTCGAGGTACTGCGCCCCAGAGTCGCACAGGTAAATGGCATTCGGGTCAATGGTGCTGCATGCCCCTCGCTCCGGCTTATAGTGAATCACAGCGGCGCTAGGGAGATGTCAGCAAGAGTTGGGAAGGTTGGTGTCTCATAGTGCCATCATAGCCCACGTAGAATGATGTTCACTAGAGGCAAGAGAAGTCCAAACTTACTTTGCACCAGTCGATGAAATGGTGTCAAATGACAAGCCGACGTAATCTTTCTGCTTTGCACGCAGTTGTTCGAGTTTGTCACCTGCCTCAACTTCGTCCAGCTTCGCTTTCTTGGCCACAAGCTGGTCTTCCAGCCAAGCAAAGTACTCGATCAAAGCAGCGCCATCACGAATGTGACAAGCCCTCATACCAGCCATCTCATTCTTATTCTTGACAGCCTTGGAGTCCCCAATAGGACTTCGTACCTCGTCAACTTGACCGTCTCCGCCAAGGGAGCGCTTCAATGCCCAAGATGCCTTGTTGGAGATCATGAACCTCTGAGATGTGGTTCCAGTTGCTGACTCGGTCGATTTAACTTCGGAACGTAGAGCGTTGATTGAATCGAAGATGGCTTCGTAAGGCTTGACAGCGACGTCATTCTCCGCAAGATAATCCCGAGTCTCTTTTCCAAGCTTGGAATCATCAACGTAAAGGGTTGCTGAGTCGGGAGTAATGATTGCGTATGAGAAGAAGACGGGATTGTAGGGAATGTCGTCGCCGCGAAGATTAAAGAGCCAGGCGATCTCGTCGAGCATTGACACAACAAAGGCAGGTGAGTTCTTCTTTTCCAGCTCTTGACGTAAGTCCTTGAGCTTGCTCTTAACGTCCTTGCCATTGAACCTCTCGGGTAGCGCTTTGACGGGGTTCTTGGGGCGAGCCGGGCGGTTAGCAGCCCACACAAGGTCTACCAAGTTGTCATCCAAAGGTAGCAGATCACTACCGCCAGATCTCTTGACCTTTTCAGCGAGTTTCTTGGCTACAGAGCCTGTGATGAGTTTGGCGTCAACACCGACAACCTTGCCGCCAGTAGACTGTTCAGCAGACCATTCTTGCCATGTAGGAACATCCTGGAGACCTTGTTTCAGGAGCAACCAGTTTTGATCAAGCTGCTTCGAAGCTTGGTTGAAGTATCTTCCGTCGGTAGCCAGTGCGGCTTTGTCCAAGGTTACGACAGCGCAGCCGGCAGACCCGCTGAAACCAGAGATGAATTCCCGGCGAGCGTCGCAGCCAGCGATATATTCGGAGGCATGGGAGTCTTCGGAGGGGATGACTACACATAGAAGAGCAGAGAATCAGTGACGATGCTGCAACAACGCAACCGGCAGAAAATTGGCTTGCAATGATTTGTCCATACCGTAAACGTCGACCTTGCGCTCCTTCATCAGTTCTCTGAGCCTCGAGAGGCGGCTGGTAGTGTCAATTCGCTCCATATCTAGGGCTGGGACTTGGTGTAATGCTCGATGGCCAAGGCCAGGAGAAGATATGTGAAAGCCGGCGGATGATGCAGCGGGCGGGGGCCAGGCGCTGACGCTACTTGTAGGGAATCGATAGCTGGTTCGGCAGACGAGACGAGAGGCAGGGCGAAGACTGGTCCAGAGCATGAGGAGAGAATGCTGGAGATACGACCAGGACGGTGGGCGCGTGTGGTCAATTTCACTAGGAAGCGGAGGTTAAGGCAAAGGTAAATGGGATACCCAATGTGGCTTGACCTGCGCGGGGACAACTAACTCCACGGGCAGCGTCGGGACAAGGTAGATAGGTAGGTAATGGAAGAAGCTGGCTGTGACTCCACGTCTGGACAATGCTGCAGGTCAGGCTCACTACACAGTAGGTGCCTAGGCACCTAGGTACAGTAGGTAGTCCTGCCTCACCTGTTAGTGTGGGCCTGGACGACAGATACAAATGCACAGAGACCAGCTCTCCTTCCACATTCGACGCTGCCCCGCACCAGCTCATGCTCAGAGGGAGGGGCAGATTTCCGCTACTGCCCGCCCTTCCATGAGGTACCTCAAGACGGTGGGGGCCTGTGTAATAGGCAGTTGGAGCATGCGGCGTGGTACCTTAGGTAAGGCGGCATGGGCAGGTATCAAGGCACCATTTTAGTTGCATATGCACCTTAGTTAGGAAAGTGAATCGGTTACCGTCAGGTGCCTTAGGTCAATACCCATGTCTTGCAGAGCAGTATCTACCAGTTACCTACTTACCAAGACCTGCTGTCGCCTTAATCGCATAAACGGAACTTAAGCTGCCATTCTTGCCAATGGAAGGGAATTATTTTTTCTTGTGACTTGTTCGCAGGCAACGCCAGGTTATCCGTAGAGATTAAACAAAAAATCTTCCTCTATCTGGGATACCTCGTATGTCTTTCTTTCTTTTCCTCTTCCCTTCTAATGATAAAGACGCTGTCCGTTCTTCACCAGGTTAATTTGTCGCTCGTGTCATTTAGTCCTCCAAGTGACCCACCCGCATCTTCTCCGGGCTTTCTCACGCTTCACTTTGAGCACTCGACCTGCATTTTATGTTTACCAAGAGCCTCGACTTCAAACCGTGACACTCAACCATAGGTCCAAGCTCTGACGCCGCAATCCATCCTGTGCCCGCCTCTTCGCGTCGGAGCACATCTTCATCTTTGGGGAGATAGTTGAGTGTCAACATGAGAACAAAATCGACAAACATTTGAGTGCTTCATCCTTCCACGCAAACATGGAGCTTCAGCTGCCATCTACCATACAAGAGGCAGAAGCCGTTAGTCTCGTACCGATCCTCGGCAAGATAGTGACTATGCTGACAGTCGCCTCCAGTTAGTACTGGCTCTCTACGAACCGTCTCCTCCTGAGACCATTGCGCGCATCCAAGAGACGCTTCATCGCATGCAAAGATCCCCTTCCGGCTGGTGGATCGCCCGTGATCTCTTAGGCTACGCAGACGACAAGGTCAAGTTCTTCGGTGCCCTCACCCTGATTGTCAAGCTTAATACCGAAAGGTTGTATACTACCTCTCAATATGGCCAGCATCGCCACTAATATCGAGATTAGCTCCTCACTGTCAAAGGACGATGCATCAGAATTGCTACAAAATCTCATAGGCTGGTTTGTCAGGTCTTTGGACGACGGTTCCGGAGCCATGGTCGTTCGGAAGCTGTCCGCAGCTTTGGTTACTTTTTTTCTATGCTTTCCCACCCAGTGGGAGCTTTGCATCCGTCACCTCTGTTTCTCTCTGTCCGAAGGCGTAGCATTGCCTCAAGACAGAGTTGATGAAACCATCGATTTATCGAGCGTCCTACAAACACTCCAGCCTCGAAATGTCCAGGCCGCACTATGGTTTTCGGGAGCCCTGATAGACGAAGCAACGAAAGTGGAAATGAACTCCGCAAAACAGTGAGCTTTACAGCCTTCCTGGTTCTAGTCTGTTCACTGACGGTGCGAAAGCATGGGTTTGTATGAGACTCTCACGCGCAACGTTCCAGATGCTATGGTTCTCATGTCTCACGGATTTTCATGCCGAGGATCTTCAGATCCGACGAGCCACAGCCCACAGAAAGACACCATAACTTGTTTACAGGTAGGTAGTCATCTCGTTCCTCCAACCGCGCGAATGCCTCCTCTTTAGTGGAAAAGTTGCTTACCATACATCGTCCAGTCGTGGGTTTGGTTCTCTCAGAGGGTGTCAGCGCACAATGACGAGCTTGTCCACTCTCTTCGGGCCCTGGTTCAGCCTACGATCACAGCCTTGGGTGACGACGAATTGTACGAAGTGGCCGTGGAGTTGCTCTCCGAAATTCTGTCAAACTACTCGGGCTTCTTGACAGACGAACACTACGAATCTCTCTTTTCTCTTTTCGAGACCCAGTGGTCTCATGAGCGATACCAGCGTCTTGTTCAAGGGGACTTCGACTTTGATTCCATTCAATTCGGGCAGCTTATGATCGCTCTTGGCGATTCCAAGGTCGAGAATCTCATTCACGGTGTGAATGCCCGCTCATCGCGTTTTGTCGCACATCTTCGTGGGCTCCTCTCTGCCCAAGGATATCCTGTCAGCGAGGACAAGATTTTCGTTCCTGCCCTCGAGTTCTGGTCCACCTATGTTGAGACATTAACAGACTGCATTTACTCGGAGGAAGAGGACTCAAAGGCATGGGTCTCTGCAGCCACCTCCCACGTCCTGGAGGCCATATCGACTGTATGGCAACGAATTGCATACCCACCTGCCAATGTTCTTGCTGATTGGGACTCGGCTGACCGAGCCGGTTTCGGCGATGCAAGAAAGGATGTTGCTGACCTTCTTCAATCGACCTTTACCGTGACTGGACCTCCCTTGATCTCAACATTCGCCAATCTGACTCTTCAGTCGTTGTCACCAAACTCTTGGTCTAACCTTGAGGCTGCAGCATTCTGTCTTGCATCCCTCGCCGATTGCGTAACCGGAGATGCCAGATGCGACGAAAGTCTCAGAGCTGTTTTCTCCTCACCACTATTCGACCTTCTTCAGACATCGGGTTCATCTATGCCAGGTCGCACTCGCCAGACCTGTATATCCCTGATTGAAAGATACTCTGATTTCTTTGAGCGCGAGGCCCAAAGCCTTCCAGCTGCACTGAATTTGCTCTTCTCTGTCCTTGCTGATCCCTTACTAGCTGGGCCGGCCGCAAAATCCATTTTACAGCTTTGTTCCTCGTCACGCTCCATCCTAGCATCGGAGGCAAGCGCATTCCTCAGTCAATACGAAGGTATTGCCGCACAAAGCCAGCTGGACTGTATGGCCGTTGAGCGGATTATGGGAGCCATAGCCGCTGTCATCCAAGCTGTCCCAGATGAGAGCACCAAATTCGACCATCTTGACTTCCTACTCTCGTTCGTCCAGAAAGATGCTCGCTTGTCAATGCATCTATTGTCCGTACCTAGACTCCAGAGCGACACGTCAGGCAGCGGAAGAGACATTCATCGCTGCCCGACGCTAGGCGATCCGTCGGAACTTCCCCTGCACATGGCCTTGAAAGCTCTAAGATGCCTCATAGGCATCGGTAAAGGTCTACAGGCTCCAGGCGACGTGCCTTTCGATCTGGATAGTGAGAAGGATATCCCAACGACCGACAGCACCTCCAGACTCGGCCATTTGCAGTCTGGGATCATGTCAATGATAGTGCAGCTTCAGAGAGCGTTCCCACAGAGCGACGAAATTTCCGAGAGCATTTGCACCATTTTCCGATCAGGGTTTTCCGAGTCGGACGCTGGCCCCTTTGTTTTTCCTCCAGGGCTGGTATGTGACTACCTCACTGAACAAACACCTCAAACACCTCGAATCGGCTACTTTGTAAACACTGCCTGTTCTTTTCTCAGTTCACTAAGAAATATGAATACTGTCGATGTGGATGAAGTAAGGACGAAACTTCTCCGATGGGTCATTACTTTATTACAGCAACAACCAGGTAAGGTCACATTCGATTCGATTCCAGAACCACGCTGACGATTTCGACGTAACAGAGCCAGATAATGATGTAGAATTGGCGCAGAACGGCATTGAATTCACGAATCGCTTGATCTCGCGGGAGCCTGCGTCCCTTTTCCGACCGGATTGTCTTCCCCTTACGGAATTCTTCTTCATCTACGCTTTGCGGATACTAGATGGACGCGAGCCACTACCCAAAGCTGCAGCTGCGGATTTCTGGGTTAGTTTGCCAATCCAGAATGATATAACACTCAGTTGTACTAACCAGCAACAGGCCACGTTCATGGCTTTGAAGCAAGGGGATGCGACGATAGATCACGCGATAGCTCAATTAGGCCCATTGCTAGCCCAGTCCATCGTTCGTAATATCGGCGGGACTGCTTCAAGGAGCGAACTCGACAGGTTAAGTGAGCCTCTGAAAAAGATGGTCGGCAATCAAGCCAAAGCTCGTAGTTGGCTTGAGCAAGCGTTGTCGGACCCATCGTTCCCAAGCCGGCAGCTAGCTGGCGATGAAAAAGCGGTTTTTCTTAAGAAAATCATGAAGTGGGTTTGACTTTCTTCGTTAAGAGTGTGGGAATATGTCACTGACCATCTCTGACAGTCTTCGTGGAGCGAGAGGTACCAATCAGGTGGTGCGAGATTTTTGGCTTGCTGCGAGAGGCTCACACTTCGCCTATGCCTCGTGAAGAACATGTTCCAGTACTTGGAATCAAAAAGGCAATGCCTAAACAGCCCACCGGCGTTCCTCCTACACCTAGAGAAGACTCCCACTGACGATGCACAATGTCATGGTTCGCGGAATGAGAAGTGATGATACATTATATTACAAACGTCTTAGCGCCACGACAGGTTAAGAGGCGCCTCGCCGAGCTGTTATTGAGATAATGATGAGGCTTCACAGCCCCGTGGCTTCTCTCACTAGGGCCATGGTTTCGTTGGCATTAAGGCGGGCCTTGCTGGCGCCCTTTGCTTCGACGGCATCGAGATATCGTCCCTCGTCAACAGACAGAAGCTCCATGTAGCGCTCACGGATTCCGCCAAGCCCCTCGACGACAGCCTTTGAGACGGCTTGTTTGAGATCTCTGAGGGAGGCATGAGAAAACGAATCGGCGAGTTGAGCTGGGTTCCTGGCATGAACATCAAAAATAGAGAGGATCTCCAACAGGTTTGATACCCCCGGCCGGTTAGTCGGATCATAGGAAACATGATTAGAGGAGTCTGTCAATGCACTCATGATCTTGACGTTGATCTCTTCGGGCGTGTCGGTGATCAGGATACGTGACCTCGGGTCTCTAGTGGATTTCGACATCTTCTGGGTTGGTTGTTGTAACGACATGACCCGGCGTGTCGGGGCTACGTCTTGTTAGGAAACTGTGCTCAGGAGATAGATGAGATACGAAAGATGGCCAGACAAACTCACATGTGATGGTCTCAGGAGATACCAGGAGAGGGCCGAAGTTGTGGTTGAAATTTGTTACACACTCGCGAGCAAATTCCAAGTGCTGTTTCTGGTCATCACCGACAGGTACGTGAGTGGCTCTGAACGAAATGTTAATCAAGTGCATTGCCCATGGTCCCCATGATAGCTGCAGGTGGCGGGTGAATAACATGGAGCGATTGGGAATATGGCCAAGTAAACGTACCGGTGGACAAGGATATCAGCAGCCTGCAAGACAGGGTATGAGAATAGGCCGAGCTTCAGCGAGGCTTTCGCACCTTCATCAAGAATGGTGGCGTCATTTGAGAGTGACAGCTTGCTCTGTCAAGAAGTATCTGGTGTCAGTAAGTTATCCATTAATCACGGGAAGGTATAGGCCTAGACCTTCCACTGTGTCATTCGTGACAAATAACCCATCGAGGCTGTACAGCTCAAGATCCACATGAGCTCAGAATGCGCCGGGACCTGATGTTCGAAATGTCAGTCTTCAGGGCCACGGCGGCTTCAGCGATTGCCCAAGTAAACGGCTTTAATTATACATATATGCGAGAAGGGGGGAAAGGCATGGAGGGTTTCGTCGCAACATACAGATGATTGATAGAACAAGGTAGAGCGTTCGGGGTTGATACCTGCAGCCAATAAAGCTGCCAGCGTTTCCCTCTTCCATTGCCTCAGCTGCTTTGCGTTCTGGGGCACGGTGATAGCATGCAAGTCGACGACAGAGTAAACAAGCTTGCAGCTCCCGGGTGGCTTGTCTTGGAGTTGCACCCATTGTCGGATGGCACCGGCGTAGTTGCCCAGGTGCGGTGTTCCCGTAGGCTGGATGCCCGAGAAAATGACTTGGTGATTCCCACTTGACGCGTCGCGGCGTCCGGCCGGAACCTTGAGCCGGTGAACTGCCCGCCTCGAACGTTGCCACATGGGAAAGGGTCGTATTAATGTTTATAGTAGAGGGGTCTGGCAACGATGTTTGATTTAGTCAGAACGAAGATTCTAGCCGTTGTACTCACTTCGTGTTCTCAATCACGATAAAGGACCTAAGGCGTCAAGAGGTTAGGTCAGACCCACAGATGGCTATAACCCTCGAAGATAGTTGCGAGCTCAATGCCCAGTCATATCTGCCAGGCCGTGTGCTCTGAATCATTGGCGTACACAAACATAATAAACCCACTGACCGAACGAAAAGTCGAGGAGTGCGGCGCATGGGGCAATGGGCCGGTTATTGCCGCTCTATCTATATTGCTATAACGGGGTTTAACGGGCCACAGGTCTAGAGACACAGTTGAGGATTTTGTCATGATGTGATGTCCAATGGCAAGCAGATCGCAGGCGCACAAGCCTTTGTGAACGACATAGGAATAGCAGTCTGTGACCGAACTCGACAAGAGCCAGATTTGGTATTTGCGATTTACAGAGGACACACTCGCGACGGGTTCCCTTTTCAACTATTTAATACACTGACAGAGCATTCTGTCATCTTTTCTTTGGCTGTCCTCAATCCCCTCTCCAAGCCCTACACACCAGCTTACACGTCGACCTATGGGTGGCCCGAACTCTCAGACGTTCAAAGCTGCCTTCCTTTTGGCCGCCTCGTCTTTCTTCCATTGAGTCTGGAGGAACCGCCGCTCCCCCTCTGATCGCTTGCCACTGTCCTTATCGAACCGGACCGTAGCCAAAAACTCCTCCACTTTCTCGACTGTATCAAGCTCCCGGTTTTGACCTAGGTGGTTCCACTGCGAGTCAATTGCCTCAGTCGTCTCTGGATTAATGGCATCCATAGTCCTGCCGACACCTGGGAAGAGAATAACACGTTAACTTTTGCTTCGAGCGAGCAAGCAGAGACCTGATTGCATAACGTCTTCCGTTGTTGTGACCTACCAAGCTTTCCAAAGTCCCACACGTTGGCCTTCATACCAATGCCGTAGTAGGCGTGCTTTTGGAGAAAAGCTAGCCACAACTGAACCGTCTCAGGATTTCCGTCGCGGATTTGGACAAGACGACGCATTGTTACGCGCTCAAAGTTCTCCTGTGACTTTTTGAAAATGAAACTACTCCGGGGAACCGTCCATCGTTCAGTGATTCGAGGCAGTGGCACAGGGCCGAATGCCGGGAGCTTCAGGTAGTACGCTGCGCGAAGGGCAAAGTCGGAGAAGAACTCAAGGTTCCGCAAACTGTATGAGCGCAACTGAAGGTCGCATGAAGGAATTCCGTACTCTGCTTCGCGGCGTAATGGCTGGAGATATAGTGCCTGGACGCCTCGAGGATATCTTGGTTCGTTTTCTTTGGTCTTCCCGAAGAAATGTTGCCTTACAAGCGACAACCATCAGTACCATCACCGCACATTGTATAACCCAGTTGAGGCGAGTACTTACACAGGATCAGACTCGCTGACAGCCTGCGGCTTTCTCGTTGTTTCGGGAGTTTTGGAAGGCTGCGTCACTGAGGCTTGCGGCGTCTCTGTGTTGAGGGAGCGAGTCCATGATGGTCTCAGGGTGCCCTGCGGACCAGGATTGAACGGTCAGTGAGGGAACAGCTTTTGCCACGTCCACGCAACGTCAACGCCGCGAGAGGAGTACCAACAAACCTGCAAGTGTGACCGTGCCAGGCAGCGGGCGGTTGGCCTCAACAGTGTCGGAGCGCGCATCTTCTCTGCATACGTAGCGAGATAGTTAAGCAATGCGATGCTGTTGGCGTGCAGAAAGGGTCGAGTACAGATCCCGACGGTAAAATCTAGAGGTACCCGCAAGTTATTCATATATGAGGTAAGCTGCATGGATACCATTCGTTTCGCAAAAAAGAATATCCACTTTATTGAATAATTCACTTTATGCATATGACGATTTGTGTCCTCGCGGTGCTCAAAAACATAACATTTGTTTCGTTGGGTGATTCAAATAGAGTGCTTGGTTGCGTTATCATGACTACATTGTAGTGATGGGATTCAATACTATATTATCGGATAACTATATTCTTCATGTCTTGCGTTCCTGACACCTGCGACTCGAGGGAACAGTTCATGTTTGTTTTTTGATTTGTTTTGCGCAGCTATCAGCCAACGACTTCGGGTATCACGAATTGAAAAAGAGACATCTCCAGCCACAGTAGAACGTGCTACTGGCGACTGCGCCGGCGGCGCTCAACCAGTTTTTTGTAAAAGGCCTTTTTGCCACTTGCCTTCTTCGTCTGAATCGCCTCATATTTGGATCTGAATTTGCCCGACGCCTTTTCTGCGCTCAACAACTCATCCACCAGGGTCTGCTTTCTCTCCTTGCGTGTCAAGCGAGCGCTGTAGAACTCGGTCGGGCCCTCGACAATGCGTCCAACATGAGCGTATCGAGGTACCTTGGCCTTGAGGGATTCCTTCTTGTAGTGTCGCTTGGAGTCGATGGCGGTTCCTCTCATGTGAAGAATCTGAAGGTCTCGCTTCAGCTCGGGATCGTTGGGATCTGTCTTGGGAATGCCAAACCAGCCTGGGCCGGCATTGTCTTTGGCAGTCTGTCTGTTGTTAGCTCACAGGTCCATTGAATACTTGGAGACAGGGTACAGTATCGGATGAAAATCTCAAATCAGAGTAACTATGAAATAGATGATCATTTTGGCGTGGCAGGTAACCCAAGACGGGCACCGTCACCACATCAAGAAAATAAAGCAGGGGTTGCTTCTCATCAGGAGAGGTGAGTGGTCGAGGGTAAGGAGTAGGAATTACGCAAGGCGCTACGACGTACCTTTTTCTCCGCTGGCCTAGGATCGCGAAGCATAGCACTCTTCGGGCCTTGTGCCTTGGCTTGCACCTTTGAATCCAGTGTTGGATTGGCAGGTGCGGCCTTCATAGCAGTCAAGGTGCAATCCTTGGGCCGTGGCGGCTGCTTCGTCGCGAGGCGACTAGCCGCTTCTTTCAGGAGTTCATCAAGACGCCCATCGCACAGCTCTGGCATAGCGATAATGTGCGATTGAGTCGTGGGAGCTGAAGGGAGACTTAGCTGTATGAGGAAAAGGATCGAGGAGGAAGAGTGGAATAATCTGATGCGAACAAGATTTTTTTTTTCGTCTTTAAAGGTCTAGTGGGGCAGTAAGGATTTGACACGAGTGGACAGTGAGTTGAGGCGCGTCGGCTGGAGGTGGTTGTGTGTTAGGTAATGCATCGGTACAAAGACCGTTATGTAAGCCGGAAACGGTGACAGACCCGCTGACCAGCTCACAGACCACCGTCGCGTTGTGCAGGACGTGCTGGATTCTCGATTCTCAGCCACGTCACCGGCCACATGGACCTCTACGCAACTGGGGACTACTTCCTCTTCACGGCATAATATTGTCTGGCGTCAGTCAGATTCCGAGGAAATGGCAGCACAAGAATTTTGGGCCTCTCACGGGCTGCGTGATGGGCGAGGCCGCGGGATGCCCAACAGGCAGCTAAAATGAGTAGTTCGGTGTGCTCTGAGAATTGAGGCTGCATGTCGCACCGAAGATAACAACTTCCCTGCCTGCCCTGACGTTAGAGTACGAAGTACCTGATGCTGCAATGCCCAATCGTAAAGTGCTTAACACCTAAAGGTGAAATTGAAGGTATGCTCAATTACCAAGAACGTATATTGGATTATACACGTCTCTCAGAGGTAAGGATACCTAGGTAAGGTCCGGATTACTTCGCTTGAATCACCTGGGCCACATTGAGCACTTGGTTTCCTACCTTAAGGTGTCAACTATGCACACAGTCAGGTAGGGTGGTAGGCAAGGTGGTAAGCTGAGGTGTGGCGGCGTTGCCTTGCAGTCAGGCCGTGATGTCCATCCAGCACACCTCAGGGTGGCTTTTGGCGGTCGGGCACTCATGGCAGGTTTAACAAGGTAGCGGCTACCTACGCCGAAGTACCTGAGTACCGTAAGGCATCCATAACCTGATCATTTCAATCTACCTAGGAGTGCTAGGTACCTTACCTATGCCAGCCTCCGGGTATTTTGCCTCTCAGATTTAGGTACTCACTGGAACCTAATGACGCTGTCCATATGTGGAAGAGGCCGTTATGTACATCGGCCCCATGCTCCTCGATGTTTCCTCAAAGCTTACGGAGATGGTCGGCAAATTGGCCTTACCGTCTCCCCAATAAGAGGTCTGTCGAGCCCACTCACCTCATCGTTTGGGCGCTCAGTAGCCAGTATCGCGTTCAAGTTCGCCTGTCGCAAACATCAACCAGCTTCAAGTATTACATCTTTAGTTAAAGAGATCCAACACATCACTGACGTCTACTGTCTACTCACTTCATTCAACCCTAGATCGTCCGATCATTCATCCTTGGCTCCCTAAGGTGCAATACCTTTCGTGTTTACCTACAGGTAACCGAAGTGGTTAACAGAGGTATTCCGCGGCTCTGAAACCCAGTACCTACCTACCTACCCACCCACCTTGCCCTACCCAGGTACCTTACCTTGGACACCTGCCGTGTATTTGACAATTGCCCGCTCTCTGCTCCTTACTCCACCGTCCTCCCAAGGCCTTGAGGGACTCTTAATTGCCCGTGGTTAGTAGCCCGTGCATCGCAATCCGACTCTAGGAATCTCATTTACGTATCTAACCGCGCCCCGAGCCGAGACGCTCCAGAGCACTGATCGCAAGTCTCAAGCAATACCTTGGCATCCGACAGACGACCCGACAAACCCCACACACCTGTGATTCGCGGCTTTCCCATCACCTTGCCCACCAATTCCACACATCAATCCTCAACCACCTTAGGTACAGTCAGTCAGTCATCACTGTTTCTCGCGACAGCTACCATGGACCCTCAAAATCAGCCTGGCTCTCATGCCCAGCAAGGCCGCCCGCAGCCTGTATATGATACGTCTCATGGCGGCCATTATGGTAAGTGGAAATACAGCGCCTTCGCCTCCCCTCCCCGATCGCGCGCGAATGCGCGATAGCAGCGCGCTCTTGACGCGAGCTACGTTTTTCACGTCATCTCAGCCTCGTCTTACTACCGTTGTACTGATATCCATCTTCAAACTTAGGCGCAAGTGCTGCGGTTCGTGTTTCCTCCTTGCGACTCGCAAACGGCGTCTACACGCAACGAATGCGATTCATGTTATGAGCCGTTTCTAATCACGCCCACAGCTATCGGCCCAGGGTTTCGCGCCCGCCGAACTTTACACCGGCCCTTGGGCAAATGTGCGATCACACTCTCATTCCCTCTCATATTCATCTAGAGTCGACTGACGCGCATTCTCCACATGACAGGTTCATCAAGGCTTGACCGGCCAGTACAAGGACATCTTGACAACCTATTGGCAGCAGACCATCAACCATTTGGAAAGCGACAACCATGACTACAAGCTGCATCAACTGCCCCTGGCGCGCATCAAGAAAGTTATGAAGGCCGATCCCGAAGTCAAAATGATATCCGCCGAAGCACCCATCCTCTTCGCAAAGGGCTGCGATATCTTCATCACGGAACTCACGATGCGGGCATGGATTCACGCCGAAGAGAACAAGCGGCGCACTTTACAGCGATCTGACATTGCGTCTGCCCTCGCCAAATCGGACATGTTTGATTTTCTTATTGACATAGTTCCTCGCGAGGAGGCTTCTTCGCACGCAAAGAGAACAGCGGGACAGGCTGCTCCCACACCCCAAGGCGTCCCAGCCCAAGCAAACCCCCAAATGCCAGGCCAGCATGGCATGCCACAGCCAGCGAACCATTCTTCCTCCTCGCATCCCATGGCGGCAACTGATTACGGTCTTGCTGGCCATGCTCTTGGGCCCGATCAGGATTACCGCCAAAACCCCAACATGTACCCTGGCCAAGTACAGCCAGGCCCCTCTGCCCCCTATGGACAAGCTCAACAACCTATGTACGGCGAGATAGAGGGCATGTACGGTTATGGGACTATGCAGCCACAGCAGGTGAGTGTCCAGTATTGATGATTCGCTACGCCACGAACAAGCTGACAAACTCGATAGCCTCCCATGTCCAACGAGGAGTTCGAGTAGACGATGGGCACGCGCAGCAACAAATGTGTCTTCAGCTGCTATCTTCAGTTTACCCCTCACAGATAAAGCAAAAAGAGGGGCGAGGTTATCGTTTCGATTTGGATCTGGCGTAGCGGCGTTCAAGGCATTATTAGCGACGAGAGCCATGATGACGGAACAGAATCGAATCTGCCAGTGCTTCACGATGGATTGATCCTCTTGAGTAATTAGCAGGTTGCAGAGGGGAAAGCTATAAGCTCCATGTCTGAGCCTAGCAACATTCCGGAGAGAATATAAATGGGTATTTGCTTCAGCATGACTTGGATATGACGCGTGCTGGTGTGTTCAATAGAATACTCCTTGCATGCGGCAGGTTCTGCACACATCATCTGGGGCAAACGGCTCTCACTTCATCATACCGAATCTGGATGAAAAGTTGGCGAGAGGAGCGCTGCGCGTGGGACCTTGGGCATTCGAGGTAAGCCTGTAAACATGTCAATACTTGAGTGTGGGAAGACGACAGTGATCTCGGGCCATACTTTTCCAGTAGGATGGGACCGTTCAATGCGTCTACGCGACCAAACTTTTTGTTGCGGATCGAAATATCAAAGAATTCGTCGTGATTGTCAGACTGCATCAGATTGATTGTTTGTTGAAGTTCGTCCAGGTTCTCCCGTAGCATGGCTCCGTTTTCAAGACTGTCGACAAACTCGGTGAGATATTGGACGTCTTTAGCCAAGGCTGCGACGGCATTGGTGTTGATATGCTTGACGTCCGGGGAAAGTGGCAACGCCTGCACAACAAAATACATCAGTGATGGAGGAACCAATTAAGGCTGTCCGGGGCATCAAGAAACTCACAAGAATCTTGTTGGCGGCATGACTGAGTGCATCAAAGTATATGAGCTCTTTGATTTCTCTTGGCAAGCCTAGAAGCGTCGAGTTCATGATGGTAGAAAGATACCGGGTCATGGTCTGCATGTAGCTGCTTGGATCGGGAGATGTCGTGGTCACCATCCTGTATACCATCGTCAGTCAACATCAATAAGGCGTTTCCTTTGTAGTCGGAAACAGTCTAGTCCAACGTACCAGTCATACTCAGCTGTATCCACAAGGTCATCAATCTTTGAGTTGACAAGTTCGAAAATACGCTTCTCAGCTGTCTTTTTGTTGTTTCGAAATTCTTCAGTAGCAACAAGCGTGACAGGGCCGCCAGCTGACGTAGACGATCTTGCTCGGATAAGAAGCTGCTCAAGCTCCTGGCATGCGGCTTCAAAATGCTCGAGGTTGATGAGAATCTGCACGATCTGCCCGAGATATTGTGAGCTCAGCCTCTCAACGAGAGACTTGCAAACCTTCTCGGTCAGCAGCTCGTCAAGCGACTGCAAGTTGGTGAAGAGTCAGTAACGTTTCTCAAATCTATACCAGTCATGTTACTTGCCTTGCGAAGTGTGTCGTCGATTACATTTGGATGTTGGAAGTGGTCATCCGAGAAGAAATAGAACTGATTCAAAAAGTTGCGAATGTCGATGCAGCAAAGTGGATACATCTGCGAGAATGGCAAAACGCAGGGGAAGCTGAATATTGATCAGACACTTGAGTAGGGACATGGTCAGACACATAGGCTTGCTTACCTGAGCTCCTCGAGCGATTTTTCTTGCGAAAACCAGCTTACGTTCACTACCTTCTCATACTCTTCACGAGTATTGATTGCCATAGGCATGTAGTCGTCCGTTGACACAATCTAGCTCGCGTTAGCCACCCCAGATGATGCATAAGCGTAAAAGATTCCGTACCTCCTGGAAGTCTTCGCTGAAGCGACGCTTCAAAAGCTCTGCATACTTGTCAAATAATGTAAGCAGGAAGTTGTCCAGCACAGATACAGAATAGCCCCAGCCCTGTCGCATATCAAATGTCAGGAAACGTCTTTGAAGTAGCACACGACTCAACGAAAACTGCCTACCTCCATGGTTTGAATGAAAAGAGCTATAACACCTTTGATCTTGAGTAGTATTTCGGCGTTGCTGACTTCATTGAGGGCCTGAGAGGTCAATGTGATAGCAGTATGACACATTGAGTCCCATAGCTCGTCAACCTAAGAACAGTTCAGCACCAGCACAAAAGGAGGCTGAGGAGAGAGCCGGCCTACATCAACCGCAGAGCGCAAGTTGGGGACTCTTCTCATGGTCGCCTTCTCGATGATGGCAAAACCAGCAATGCCTTCGAGGAGACTGCTCAGTGAGGATTCATCCTCTGCAACAAGATTCACTGTGCTCGGCAGTAGTAAATCTTTCTGCTGGCGACGAGTTGTAGCATATTCGGCACGGAACTTCTCGCTTTGACCCAGGGCATTGTGGATATGGAGGCACTCGAACAACGGGGTAAAGTCAACTCGTAGCTCCTCGTTGTCGAGCACGTCGAACTCTTCACTCTCGTCAAAGACCAGCTCGATCGACGAATTGAGTCTGAAGTTGTTGAGGAAACTGTCTCTCTCCACCCGTTCTCTCTGTCTCGCCCTTCTAAGTTCGGTGTGATAGAACGCGACCTCGCCGAGGAATTGTGAGGTCTCGCGAATTCGAAACAGCCAGGTATTTAGGTCGGTCATGACGGCTTCAGAAATGATTTTCTGGGACGCGGGTATCGACTTTTGAATCACATCGGCCAGTCTGTGCTGAGTAGCGTACTTATTCTGGATTGTCGGAATCAGATGCTCATTCTGCAAGTCCTCGAGTGACTTGAGCGCTGCATAATACTTTTTAGTGCGGATCAGGTCATGAGCATGATTGACAGCGTGGAGGATCTTGAGCGACTCTTTTAAAGCATCGGATGCGTCGGCGATGTTCTGTCGAACGGCTCTTGTGTTCACCAGAGCTTGCTTTTGGTCAGCAAGCTTCTCGGTGCTGGCCTGGATTGACTGGTTCAATCTGAGAATCTCTGCTGTGAGAGTGACAGTGCCTTCGCGCACGTTCTGAAGTTGGTTCACGGAACCAAGAAACTCCTCGTGCTTTGTCAAGCCTATTCTCTCAATATCGGACTCTCTGTCTTCAGCATATCGCACGAGATTTTGCATCAGCGAAGGGGTTCGATTCGAGTGCGAGGCATCTTTGAGAACCGGAATGAGCTGGTCGAGAAAGTCTGCGTCGGATGAAGTGATGATAATCTGGAGCAAGTTCGAGTTAGCTAGGAAGAGAGGTGGATTCGATTGGTATCAAGGCTCAGATTCAACCTGTTGGACGGCTGCGCCATAATCATCGTAGGTCTGCGGGCGCCGAGGCATCTTGTTCCATGCCTTTCGCAGTACACGGGCTTGTTGGTGTGGACTGGACACGGAGTCCTTTTGGTCGGTAGGCGGTAGCGATTTGTTGTAGGACCAGCTTCGTGGCTTGGGTTGGGCATGAGCAAGTTCCTGGTTGAGGCAGAAGCGACCAGTTCAATGAAATCTGAGGAACGTGGACGAAGAGGCGATTGGGGTTGTGCCTGCGGCCCTGTGTTAAGGTACGGATACCCAGGTAGGTCGATAGGCTACTAGGTAGGTAAGCTCCACCCGGCGGTTGGTGATGTCGGAGCTAAGATATGTGGATTGCTAGGCCTGAGGAGGCTCTTCCCTTTTGGACTAGGCTTGGTCAGCGCCACTAATGCAAGTGCTCGCATGGAAAGTAAGATACCTTACCCTGGCACACCGGGCAGCACCGCATTGACGGGGGTGACCTTTCATCCCGGGGCCGTGTCCTCCGCAGCCAAGGACCTTGTCTCCCGGTTTGCGGGGTGGGTGGATCCCCGTCCCTCCTAACGTAGCTCCAACTTCATACCGGGCAACGGTTACGTCTAGATCATCACCAGCTCATAGTGGATCGAACTGCCAGACTCTTTCAAACCTGGCGCGTCCATTCAATCGCGATACTGCATCTTTCATGAAGTATGGCCTCGGGCTGCTCACCATACTTCTTCCAGAAGCCTTACAGGAACACGAACGACATCTACAAGCACTCACCTCTCTCTCTTCATGTCACCACGCTGGACTTACACCTCTTCACAGCACAATAATGATATTACGGCACAGTTCTGTCGGCGTGTACCTGCCTCAGAACTGGTGCGGACGGTACCCGTCCAGCGGCCCCAATTGACTCGCTGCTTCCTCGTTCGGAGTATGGTGCGAGAGGTCGTGATTGGGACATGCACACCTGATGCATGATGGGATGTGGCTGTTCCTGGACGGCTGTCTACGTTACGTTGCATCGGAGTAGAGTAATTTGAAGGATGCTTTGATGTGCTGCTATCTCCTTCGTGGGCTGACAGAAGATGAAGTTCTTGTGATGACGGAGGAATTCTAAGTAGGTAAAGTGAATTTTCAGACTTTGGAAGCAGGCAGGTGCATGCCCTCGTATTGTTCTTTCGTTCAACACGGAAGGAAGGCGTCACTGCCTGGAGAGGAAAGAAGGAATCCACCCTGCAACGCGCCTTCCTCCTTTTCACCACCTGCCCACCAATTGCTACGTAGGCTCCTTCCGTTCGCTGCCCTCAGAGAGGGCGGACTCTTTCTTCCTCAACTTACGCTGAACCAACATCCACCCTCGCACACCTCACATCACACATTTTCCCACGAGGCCCCCAGATCCATACACATCTCTCCTACTTCCACCCCGACTACCTGACGTTACCTACCTGGTCATCTTCGTCGGCACATAGCCCACCCAGGCCCACGCATCCTCGTCTTGTCCTGAACGTTCGCTGTCAGCCTTTCTCAAGGTGCAAACTACTCGGCATCGTCGCCGAGACTCCTGCAGAGGCACGGCTACCTCGCAGTCAAGCAAGAGAGTTCAATTTCCTATGTGTTGCATTGAGACTCAAACTTGTCAACATCTATCATCCCCCGAGTCTCAGTAGTTCGGTCTCCTCCCTCTACTGCCCAGACACCACTCTCTCGTTTTCCTTCCCTTCTTCTTCACTTACTGGGTTGAGCGGCATTGCTTGTCAAGCAGAAACATCACGACCGACAAGATGGCCCAAAGCAACGACAGCGTCATGTTTAACCCTTCTTCGCCTCACTCCTCTGTCGGCGCTGCCGATTCCTTCAAGGGAACGCCTGACACGAGGTTGACCGCTTTCTCTCCGGAGGAAAGTGCCACGAGATCCTCCCGTCTTCTCAAATCAATCGTGCAGGCCTCGCCAGAGACCACTCCCTCGAGATTTCCCTCGAGTACCTTTGGCAATGTCATGTCTAGTGCCGAAAAGGACCCTTTCATCACTACAAATTCAAACACTAGCCATCCGAAGCTGTCGCCGACTGCCTCTACTTTCCAGCCCTTCTCTTCGCCACTGGACAGGAACGCTGAATTCGCCATTCTCGACCGAGACAGACAATCAGCTTCTAGCGTCTTTTCGACTGGAGTTAGGGATGTTGGTGAACTCTCGGAGTGTCTCATCATCGGCTCCCAAAACCGAAACCTTGGCATCACCGATCTGAATGCTTGTCTCATGGTAAGTGCTTTGTCTTCCGTCACGCAATATCTTGACTAACAAATGACCAGAAACTCCAGCGACTTGGTCTCTCGCTCCAAGAACCGCGACAAATATTCCACAGAGGAGGGCGAATCTCTGTCCAGTTCAACGACATTCGTGACGCCGTTCTGGTTCACGACAATGTTTATCGAGTCGAGGCTGACTTTGAAATCGACTATCTGTCAAACGTCGACTTTTCAGAGGTGCGTCTTGCTAGATCTCCAACTAAAGCCTGGCAACTGATATCTGAGAAGCTTTCCATTAGAAGCAGAGTCAAATCTGGGGCTTGGGTCGCCGTTGTTGCTCTGGCTATTCCTCCCTGTCCACTCGACATCATCCGCACCGAAGCAATTCTCAAGCGCATGCTGCAGTCACGGGGCCAACTCTCGGCATACCGTGCCCAGCAGAACAACGATCCTTCGGTATACAGAGCCATCGTTCAGTTCAGTGACCAGGCCGAAGCCGCCACAGCCGTGGTTGTGATCAACAACACGATTGTTGAGGTGAGCTAATCGAGCGCTGGCAAACTATACGGGGACGGAGTTGGATGCGAGCTAATGATTTTCAAGGGGATCCATGTCACTGTGTCGCTTTTGGATGGAAACGAAATTCCTCATGTGGCTCAAGATCCTCAAGACAGCCCGACCGAGGACCACAGTCCATCCACGCCTGGGAATGATCTGACAAGTGCCCTTCATGCACTTTCTCTCTCCAAGCAAGCCGACCAGGTGCCTGTCATGCCCCAGGGAGTGCCCATGCCTGTGCCCGGATCGCCATACCCCCCTCTCGGTATCCAGGTTTCCCCCTTGGCGATGTGGCCCATCTTATGCCAGCCACAGTTCCAGCCGGGTACAGCATACGTTCTGAATGGTGGGCAGCGCCTCTCAGCGCCTACATCTACATCTAAATCGGCGAGGTACCAGCTCACGAACCATCTTTTCTCACAGCCTTCACCGGGCATGCCAATGATGGGATCGATGTCTCCCGGCACCAGAGCCGAGCCCCGGAGGCAGAATGCAGCCAGAGTCAACAGATCACCCTATTATAATGTTGCTAGCCACCACAACCATGTCGATGTCAACCGCATCCGTGAAGGAACAGACGTTCGCACCACGGTGAGTAATGTGTTGATGTTTTTGAATACTTAGACTGACAACGCTGAGATCATGCTTCGCAACATTCCGAACAAAGTAGACCAAGCGATGCTCAAGCGGATCGTTGACGAATCTAGCTGGGGTAAGTATGACTTCATGTATCTCCGGATTGATTTCGCCAATGACTGCAAGTAAGCAATATCGCCAGCCTCAAAACTCACCATGCATCAGGGCACTAACCACGGAGGACTCCTCTAGTGTCGGATACGCTTTCATCAATTTTGTGGATGTGAGTATGACCTTGGGGGAACTTGTAACGTGTTACTGACATTACCTTGTAGCCGTTGGACATCATTGATGTCGGTAAGACCAAACCTTGCGTTCGCGGCAGTGCTGATGATCAAATTACAGTTCGTCAATACCAGAGGTAATCAGAGATGGTATGTTGAACGCAATGATCAAGCCAGACGGCATGACGCCAGCTTACATCGACACAGGAACTGTTTCAAGAGCGACAAGGTCGCTGAGATTTCCTATGCTAGTGAGTGCCGCGAGTTGGGATAAGCGTCAAGCTTGCCTACTGACATGCTCACTTAAAGCCATCCAGGGCAAGGATTGTCTTGTCCAGAAGTTCAGAAACAGCTCCGTAATGCTCGAAGCAACGCATTATCGTCCCAAGGTCAGCTGGCCCCCACCCGGCGCTCGACAGAGCTAAACACTAATCACAATATAGCTGTTCTACACCTCCAATGGGCCCGTCCCAGAGCTCGCGGGAGAGGAGGAGTCCTTTCCAGAGCCAGACAACCAGTCGAAGATGAAGCGAAGCTGCGAGAACGCAGAACACGTTGGTACGAACCAATCGCCAAGTGGTTACTGAACCATGCTAACAGGAACCTCGTAGGGCTTTTCACACCCAATGCTGGACAGCATTTCCGCGATGAGCAACGCCGCAGACGCTCGCAGTATGACCGAGGTACCAGACTGGCCGCCCTCGAAGAACATGACTTCGAAGCATCTATGCAGCCATACATGTATCATGCTTAGGGTAGTGGGTGGTGGAATTTGGAAGGCAGTTTCAAGGGATAATGCAGGTCGAGTGAAAGTACTGGCATCGCAATACTACTAGGGGGGATTGAGACATTGAAGTTCTGTCCACATACATGGGACTCCAACTTTGATGGTCATATACTGGAGCTTTCTGGAAGCGTCATGAACGTGTAATCATTAGTACCTAGCTATACTCTGCTAAGATATCATGGCTGTATAATCTCTCAGCCGTGCCAAGTGTGTTTCTGCTCTTTGTCTCATTCTAATGATAGAACCAATTATTGCCACGATGCTGCGAACACCACGCAGCCCCGAGTAATTGATGGGATGAAATTGCATTTGTTAATGCAATAACAATGATGTGAGGGAACCCAACACAAAGTCGAGTCGGATATAGTACCAGGTGGGGTTTTGTAAGCCGAAGTGGAAGACTCACTCTGGCAAAGCTGGAAGTGGTTTGCGAACTGTGGATGAGACGATCCCAAGAGGTTGGTTTGCTAAACGAGCCTCAGCTTCGCTCTCCAGTGGCGCCGGGTCTAGAAGGACTCTATTTGAACGAAGTGAGTTTTGGGCCGAAATTCCACAACTATGCTGTGCCGCATTATTTGATGTTCCAGCCACTTCCTCAACGAGATGATGCCCGCCAAAATCCATGGATGAACCATGGCAATTCCCAGTGGGGTCATTCTCAGCAAAAGTACCCAATGGGCGTGTTTGCGACATCATAGACCTATCAGAGCCATATGGATTGCTCTCTGAGGCTTGGCAGCTGTATTCATCTTCTGATGCCGGCGTGAGCAGCCTTGCCGGCGTGCCCGGCAAGTTTTGCAATGCTCCAGAAGCCCCCTTCAGCGAGGCTCTTTCGCCGCGGCCTTCCCCGTCAAACGGCCGGCCAAAACTGTCATACGCGGAGGTATATGTGTTCTGAGCAACTTGCTCGGATCCAATGCCAGGATCGGGATGATTCAGATTCGATGTTCGACCGAGATCAAAGGAACCAGCCAGGATCGGTTGTGTCATTGCTCGGGAGAATATGACGAGAATGAGGCATGACAGCAGGAGAATGGCCTGTACGATGGCCATCCTCTTCTGGAACACAACTTCGTCGGCAAGAATGTTGAGTCTAGAGCTGAGTGCGACAGTTTCCCTCTGTGACTGCTCTCGCTGACTCTCCAGCGCAATGACAGTAGATTGCCATATCTGATCATACTGCTGGCGAACAGTCCGCAGTTCTGAAAGTACGGTATTGTTGAGACTATCCAGAAAGATATCTATTCTAGACAATTGCCTCCTCTCAGCCATTTTCTGGATCTCTTGTAGGTAGCGAGACTGGTCCTCGATGTACTTAAGTGACAGTGAGACATTTGACTCCAAGTACTGCAGGCGCTTGCTGACGGCCTTAAAGAAGCTCTCCTGGACTGTGGGAGATGAGGGCGCTGCTGTTGAGTTGTGCTTGTTGCGGGATTGGACAGTGGCTTGTGCTGTCTTTGTCGAAGACGTGCCCAAGCTCGTACTTTCTCCTCCTCCTGGCCTCAGATCGGTGTATGTGCTGCTTTGGTATGCACCTACAGGAACAGACTTCGCCGATGATGAGGTGTATGTTTCGTCAACTCGATCTGTCAGGTTTGCTGGGGCAAACGCCGACCTGTCTTCGGAGGTACGTTTGGCAGAGTCTCCGGCCCGAAATCGATCATGTGTTGATGGTTGATAGCCTAGCTTCACATGATCTCCAGTCTGCAGTTCTGGGTCCGATGAAATTGGTTCTGAATGTGGCAGTGGCATTAAGGGAGGGCATGTCGAGTTATCCCAATCCAGACGTGAGAAGATGTGGCGCGGCATTAGCAGGTCTGGTGAGGAGTCAGATGCCACCTCTGGTGATCCCCCTTCTGGCGGTGCAAACGTTGTATTCTCACCAATCTCAGCGTTCGTGGCAGGACTAGGCAACTCGCCTACAGGCTCTTCCGCCGTCTCTTCTTCATCTGTCTGCGTCTCTTGGTCCTTCCATGACTCCAACATTCGTGTGCCGTGCACACGTAATAACGAGACTGGACAATAGAACTCATTGCCATAGTGAGTCAGGAACTCTATCCTGACGTATTTGGCCCAGATCAGGGGGTTTTGAACGAGAAAGGGCTGGATGTCCCGAGAGTTTTTGGCCTCGAATGTGCCCAAATCTTTCCACTTATCAACCTTGACAGGATACCTGTCACTCACACTAACCCGGAAGTGACGTACCATACTGGAGAAGAACTCGAAGTTGGCCAGCACAACGGTGTCGACTAGAATATCGTCACTGAGCTCAACAATCACGAACTTGTTTCCTGCAGAGCATTCCAGTAGCATGTATGAATCCTTGTTTTCAACCAAGATGGCCTTGGCATTCTTCGCGCCTTTGTTGGTCTTAAGAACCGTTGCGCCAGCGTCAAATGACGAGTAGGAAAACCTTTCCTTGCAGGTCTTTCCAGCGTCCTTACTCCGGTAGTATTGCGTCCTCCCATCGTCATAAAGTACAGGCTCTTGCTGTTGGTCGGAAGTTGCCACTTCTGTCGGAATGGCCTGGGGTGCTGATGCAATATTGCTGATTTTCTCAGAAACAACATCGAAGTTCAAGTCGATCTCCCCATCATCGATACCGAGACTATCAAGGCCCAAGCTCCTAGTTGCTCTGTCATGATCGGTCGCGCGCTCGACTGGTTTCCGAGATTTGAGTTCCGAGGGGTCTTGACCAGCCTTTCGAAGCATCATCTCCTTCCACTCCTCAAAGGACATGAAAGGCCTCGGGGTGACTTCATCATCGGTTGCGGTCTCGGTAGGAGACGAATTTGTATTATCGTTGCTTGTCCGGTCGGGTGCCGAGACGTTGGTGGCCGCGACCACAGGTTCTCCAGCACTATGTGTAGTTTTCGTTGAATCGTCGGAAGGTAGGCTTGCGTTGTCGTTTATCGGAGTTGGGCCATCACTGATAGCCCTGCCGCCTGGCCAACTGGTCTTGAGACACTGTTGAGGAAGTGTGTGCGTGATGTAATTGATCGTCTTGAACTGGCAAAAGGCCACCTGAGTGTTTGTGGATGAGGCGTCGATTGAGCTAGATGCTTGGCTCGAAGTTGAGGTGCAGACGAGTGCCAGCAACGAGGCGACGATTAGAAGAGGCCTAGCCGACATTTCCTGGCCATGAAACCACATGTTGCCGCCGAAAGGAGTTCGACGATGGCGATGATGAGTGCGCAATCAGGGAATCACTCATGATCTAGAACGGCGGTGATAATGTTTGAAGTTGCCCGACCGTACCTGACGGGTGCTGAGCGATAGCTGGTGCGCAACACAGGGGCGTAATAGGTATGGAATTATAAGAGGAAAGATAATATTAAATATAAGATTAATAGCTTAGACCTATAGTTATATAAGTAAGTTAGATTATTAACTTATTAAATTTATTTGTTTTTTTAATTCTGCCTTTACTAGATACTTAAGTAGTTCTTAATATTGTTTAGATAATATTAATATATAATAATAATAAATACTCTTATTATTTCGATAGACTATTTTTTTTAAAATTTTCTTTTTCTTCTTTAATTTTCTTTTTTATAAAGTTTATAATTATAAATTAACAATAATATTAAATACGACGCTATTACTTTATAAGCTTATATACTTAGTTAAGTTTGTAGCCCTTTTAAATTAATAATAACTTATAATAATATAATATTAAAAATACTTTTATTATTATTATTAAAAATAATACTAATCTCTATAAATATTAATATATATATTAATTAGCTTATATATATATATTAATTAGCTTATATATATACATATTCGTTACCTCGTTTCTTTTATTAAAATTAAAAAACGTTTTTATTATTATTTATTATTATTATATTATTACTATCGTTATTATTATTAAATTATTTATTTATTTTTAAATATATATTATTAAAATATTAAAATATTTAGAGATTATTGACCTCTAAGGCTTTTTAAATAATTAAAAATTCGATTTTATAAATATTATATTAAAAGACCTCGAACTATAATAAAGTTATTTTAAAGAATACGGATTAAATATTAATAACTTAAAAATCTAAAAAATATATATTAATATATATATTATTATTATTAATACTTAACTTATATAACGTATTTATATAATAAGTAACGTATTATAATAAGTAACGTACGTCCTTATAATTCTATTCTCTTTATTTTTAAAATACTTTTTCTCTATATATAAATATATAATCCTTTTTAAATAAAAGCTAAATTATTTTTACTTTCTAAGTTATTAAAAAAGACCTAAAAATATTTATATAAAAAGTTATTTTTAATTTTTAAAGTTTTTAAATTAACTTTTTATTATTAATATTTTAAATATATTATATAAAATAAAAGATATTTAAATTTAATAAAAATAATTATAATAAAAAAGGAAGTAATTTTTAAATAAGTTACTAATTTAATTAATTAAGAATTCTTTTTATAATAAAAAGATATATAAAAAATAACTAACTAATTTCTAAATATATATAATAAGATATATATTAAATTATAATAAATAAAGAACTTTATATAATACGTTCTTAAATTTAAAATATAATTTTAATATTAAATTAATTATTAAAGGGCCTTAACTAAAGATTTTATTAATATATAAAACTAGTTTACTTTTATATAAAATATAATTATAAAATATAAAATATATAATAATAATATTTATAATTTTAATAAAATAGGCTTTTTAATAAAAATATTATTATATATAAAAGTTATTATAATTTTAATTATAATAAAAGGCCTTATATAAAATAACTTAGTAATTAAAAATAAGTTTTTATTATTTAAAGTATATATATAAATAGCTAGGTACTATTTCTATATATTATTATAAAAAGTAAACATTACCTCTTCTTTTAATATATTAATAATTAATTCTTAGTTATATAATATATTTATTTAAGTAAAAATAAATAAATAATAAATAATATTAACTTAAATTAATTAAAATATTTTAATTAATATATAAGGACTTATATAAAAAGCTCTTATTATTTCTTAATTCTTAATAATTTTAATAATTATAAATTAACTAATTTTAATAAATATTATAAAAAATAAAACATTATTATTTTTTATATACTTTCTTATTTATTATATAAGCTTTAATTTCTTTATATTAAGTACTTTAGCTTATTAAAATATTTATATAATAAAAAAATAAAAAAAATAATATAAATATAAATTTTATATATTATAAAAGACGACTTTTTGTCTATTTTTAAAATAGTATTTTTTATTTTAATAAACAAAAATAATATATAAGTTAGTTTTAAATAAATAAGCTTTATATTTTTTAATTTTAAAATAGTTATTTTTTATTTAAATTATAAATTAAAAACGCTAATATTATTAAAATTATAGTTAAGTAACTAAGGCTTTTAAAACTTAAAAATACTAATTATAATAGTAAAAAATATATAAAATACTACCTTTTTTAAAAATAAAGTCTAAATATATTAAAATAGCTTATTAATATTAATATATAAAATAATTAATTTTTAAGCTAGAAATATTAATAAGTTAGCTTATAAACTTATTATTATTAAAATAAAGAACTATAAGCTTTATATAGGGATAAAGGTACTAAATAAGTATTAAAAAATAAAAAAAACTTAGTTATGTTTTAAAAAGTTATTTAATAATATTAAAATAGAGGTATTAAAAATAAAAAAGGGTAATATTAATAAAAAAAAATAACTTTTAGAAAAAGGGTTATAAAAAAATATTAAACTACGCGTATAATAATATAATAATCACAAAAAGCTTAAATATAACGTACGAACTTATAAAATAGTTTAAAATAATAATAAAAAAGAGGGTAATATATAATTTTAATTAATTTTATATATAATAGTTAAGTTAATTTATGAAAAAGGTTGAGAAGTTATAAAAAGTGTACCGCTCGCTATAATATGCTATTTACTATATAAATATATTATAATATATATTAAGTTATGATAAATAAAGAACTTTATATAATATTAATTATAATTAAAGACGCGTTTTTAATATAAAATTAATTATTAAAGGGCATTAGCTAAGGATTTTATAATTATTTAAGCCTAGTTTATTTTTATATAAAATATAATTATAAGTTATAAAATATATAATAATAATATTTATAATTTTAATTAAACGGGCTTTTTAATAAAAATACTCTTATATCTATCTATTATTATAATCTCTAATTATTATAAAAAGCCTTATATAAAATAGCTTAGTAATTATAAATAGGTTTTTATTATTTAAAGTATATATATAAATAACTAAGTACTATTTTTATATAGTATTTATGTCACGGCACTGGGCGCTAGGCCCCTGTGCGCTCGGGCCTCAGGCACCGAGCGGACCCCCTACGGGTCACGTGACCACTGGACCGCTGAGCCCAAAAGCCCAGCGCCCCAGATTCCGCCCACTGGTCTACTTTTTCCCTCTTCACGTTGAGTCCCGTCTATTAGGTCAATATAGCAGCGTTCCGACCTGCCTCGAGTTCCCTTTCGTGACATTTATAAAAATAAATATTACCTCTTTTTATAATATATTAATAGCTAATTCCCTTCTAAATAATATATTTACCTTAATAAAAATAAATAAATTATAAGTAAAATCGGCCTAAAATAGCTAGAGTATTTTAAAAATTATATAAAGTCTTATATAAAGGGTATTAAGTAGCTCCTTATTTTTAATAATTATAATAATTATAAATTAACTAAATTTAATAATTATTATAAAAAATATAATATTATTACTTTTTATATACCTTTTTATTTATTATATAAGCTTTAATTTCTTAATATTAATTATTTTAATTTATTAAAAGCTTTATATAATAAAAAAATAAAAAAATAAAAATATAAATATAAATTATATATATTATTAAGAACGACTTCTTTTTTATTTTTAAAATAACCTTTTTTATTTTAATAAATAAAAAAAATATATAAACTAGTTTTAAATAAACTAGAATTATACCTTTTAACTTAAAAATAGTTATTTTTTATTTAGATTTTAAGCTTAAAACGCTAATATTATTTAATTTATACTTAAATAACTAGGGTTTTTAAGATTTAAAAATACTAATTATAATATATAATATTATATAAAGCTCTATTTTACTTAAAAAACGGATTTATAATTATTAAAATAGCTTATTAATATATTTATATAAAATTATTAACTTATAAATTAAAAATATTAATAAATTAATACATAAACTAGCTCTTATCAAAACTAAGTATTATAGGTTTTATATAATAAATAAAATACTAAATAAGTATTAAAAAACTAAAAAAACCTAATTATATTTTGAGAAGTTATTTAATATTATTAATACTAAAATAATTTAAATAAAAAAGGGGGTTATTAATATTAAAAATAAAAATATATATTAAAAAAGTATTTATATTAAGGGAGGTAAATTACGTAATTAGTAATATAATAATTATAAAAAAACTAAATATAATATATAATTATATTAAATAGTTTAAAAAACTTTTAAAAAGGAGGCTAATAAGTAGTTCTAATTAATTTCGTATAATATTGCTTAATTAATTTATATAAATAGTAGGAGGGTATTTAGAAGTAGCTCGCTCGTTATAATAGCCCGCTCGCTATATAAGTACGTTAAATATAATATATAAATATATTAAATAGTTTAAAAGACTTTTAAAAAAGAGGTTAATAAGTAATTATTAATAAATCTTGTATAATATAGCTTAATTAATTTATATAAATAGTAAGAGGGTATTTAAAAGTGGGCGACTTACTATAATAAGTAACTTACTATATAAGTACGTTAACTAAGTATAAATAATAGGCTTAGCTCCCCCGGGGGCTTATTTTAAAGTTTTTAAAAATGGTAATACGTATAACAGTTTTTAATATATCAATATATATTTACTATAAAACTAGGTTAATAATATTACTATTTAATTATTCTAATTATTTAATTATAACTTAAGTATATAAGAAGTTTTTATTTATAAACTTTATAAATTATTATAATATGTAAGTTGTCTTTTTTAAAGTATAATAAGCTTATTATTTATTATAAATAAGTTATTATTTTAAACTTATTAATATTTATAGCCCTTATTTATAAGTACTTATATTAAAATTAATAACTCTAT